ATGTGAATACCATTATGCATGCTTACACACACACACAAACACACAATTGTGGGTTATGATATTGTGAAAATCTCTTTTTGTGGTCCTTAAGCATTTCAGATATTTATTTGTGATGTAAAAATATTAAACTTTCTAATAAATCATTATTTAATATTATATTATAAGCATTTGTTTGTTAGCCATTGCTGAAAACTGGTTAAAAAAGATTAAAAATATCTAATGCTGTTGCTCCCTCTAGTGGACAACAGCGGTTTTACAGCCTACATAAACGGTTGAAATGAATGACAGGAAATTCGTTTTTTTTTTTACTTATATCTCGGGAACGAGAAAGTGAAAAAATCTGAAACTCAGAACTTAGATAGGGTTAGAGGAGCCCTCTTGAACAAGACCATTCCCGTGTTGCTGAGTGATTGCTGTCGGGAGTAATGTCCGTTTAAATGCATATCTTTGTGGGCTTATATCTCGGGAATGCCCAGGCCAAATCGCACCAAACTCGAATCGAAGCTAGATGAGGACGAGCCCTTTCCAACAAGCTCTTCCACAAGGATCTAGATGGTCTGGATCAAGAGTTACAGCCGTTTCAAGTTGGGGTTCTCACAGATTAGCGATCCGCGGGGGGGCGCTCCCGAGCCCCGCGACGAAAGATTTGGATCAAGATCCCCGAGAGGACCTTACCATCAAAATTTCAGCGGGCAGAGACTTTCCGTTTTCGAGTTATGAGTGAATTCGTGCTTGGGGGGGCGTGGCCCAATGTTTTACTTTCGTTTTGAGGCTTCCTGTGACAATTAATTATAGAGGCAAATTTTGTCTGATTTGTCTGAAATTTTTCAATGCCGTACAGAGTGATATTACACATGTTCTTGACCTTTTTTAAAGAAGATCTGAGCATTCATTTAAGAGATCAGCATTTACAGCCAATACAGGCAATTTGCCATAGGAAATGTATGGTTTTAAAGCTTTTTGACAGTTATAGCGCCAACTATGGTCCGATCTCCATGAAACTTTGCATGCTTCTTCACCATGTTATGACACATATGCTCACCAATTTTTGTTTAGTTCTGAGTTTTTATTTATGATTTATAGGCTTTTGTGTGTATTTGACACGCCCCTTTTCTAAATGACCCTGTTATAGCCATACGAAAAATGCAAAAGTTCAACTTTTTTTCAATGATTATTGATCTAGAGAGTCCAGAGAATTGTCCTAGACTGGTCTGGTTCCAATCGGGCAAAAATCCAGGGACTAGTTCGCAAAAGTAGGTTTTTAACATATTCGTGAATATTTAATGAACGATTTGATTGACAGCAATGGTTCTAGAGGGAAAGTTGTTCATCCTGAGGAGATCTATCAAATGATATGCATATTTTCGGGATGTGTGCAACACCACGTGATTACAGAGCCGTAAAACTCGTTAGCGCCAACTAGTGGCCAATTTCTTTCAAAACTCTTACAGACCTCTTGGGCCATGAGTCAAACATGTCCGTCGAGTTTCGTTCCGATTGGCCTCCGTTAACCTCGTGTAATAGGTGCTCAAATTCATTGGCCGATGGCGGCCATGTTTTTTGAGTTACGCCAATTTCCTCATACACATACATGGCACCTTGGACCAAGACACTGCATACCAATTTTTAAGTCAATCGGACTAACGGTCAGGTGGTCATAGCCCGATTTAGGTTTTTTGTGTGTTATAGCGCCACCTAGTGTTAGGTCGACGCGATTTTTTTACTGTGACCTCAGATTGAACTCATACACATGTGTTCCAAGATTGGTGAAGATATCTCATTTACTTCTCGAGTTATAGCCATATTAGTAAAATAGGCTCCTCCCACAACGATCATTTTACTCCCCCTAGCGACCGTGAATCGAAAATTCAACTTTTTTTCAATGATTATTGATATTCAGACTCCAGAGAACATGTATGCATTTGTCTGGTTTTGATCGGGCGAAAAACCAGGGACTAGTTCGCAAAAGTAGGTTTTTGACAAAATTCAAAATGGCGGAAAAATTTGCATACCGGAAATGAAATCGGAGATATACGTTTTGTTCTTCAGGCCTCCAGCTTTCCAATGATATAAGACACTTGAGTCTACGACATACGGTTTAGGAGTTATGAGCAGTTTCGCGCAATTGATTGCTGTAGCGCCACCTATAGGCCAATCGGGGTCATACTTTCTGAGGCTCTCCTCGATTTTTGTACTACCCTCTGACAAAGTTTCAGAGCTCCAGCACTTACGGTTTGTTCTGCACGATGCGTTTTACGGCAGAAGAATAATAATAATAATAATAATAATAATAATAATAAAAATCAGTACAAATACAATAGGTTTTCAGCACTTCGTGCTTGAACACCTAATAATAAAAATCCTTACAATTACAATAGGTTTTCAGCACTTCGTGCTTGAACACCTAATAATTGTGCCTTATGAGATCAATGCACTGTGTTGTCATTCTTAAAAGGACATCATATGCCCTACCTATTATGAAACAGCGCGTCTGTCGTAACTCCACTGAAATCTCCATGCTAAGCAAGCGTTCACAATATAAACGTATTACATATGAGAAATATTGATATTGATTTTGTATAAAACTACCACACCATTGATGTGAACTTAGCTATACATGCCATTTACGTCAGAGGGAGCTATTTCAGGCCCTGTAGAGATTTAGTGAAATGGCCATACTTTTTTATTTTGCTACTTCGCCATTTTGAATTTACACATTTATCATATTTGTGTTATTGACCTTTCAGTAATACAAAAAAAAAGACTTAAGATTATTGTGGGAGTATTTTTGTATTTTCAAAATACTAATTACTTGTATTTTATTTAAATACATTTTTCACATCAGTATTTTGTATTTTATTTTGTTACATTTCATGAGCCAGTATTTGTATTTTGTAACAAAATAGTTTTTGATGTATTTGTGCCCACCTCTGTTTGGCAGGTATATGTCATAATGTTTTGGCTCATCATCAGTGTATTTCTCCTTATTTGGAGTCAAGTCATACTATACTGGGTGTCATGAGGCAAAAAAATCATCATCTCACTTTAAACTGCTTTTTCCAAATTTCTTACCAAGTGTAAATATTTGTATGAATTTGTATAAAATTAAAAAATGTTAAGTAGCAGTCAGTATCTGGTGTGGCCAGGAGTTGCTTTACTAGTGCATCTCCTCCTCGTGGACTGTAGATTTGCAGATCTTCAGTAAGATGTTACTCCACTCTTCCACCAAGGCACTTGCAAGTTCTTGGACACGCCTGGGTGGACATATACACATGGTTTAGCACTGCAAGGATGATCACTGTCTCAGGTGTCTCACATTACGGACATGGCAGTTTATTGCTCTGGTCACATCTGCAGGACTATGGCATGTTCACACAGGTGATCCGGGATCCTGGGCATCTTTCATCTCGTGTTTTTCCGAGTCGGTGGAAAGGTCTCTTTAATGTCCTGAGTTATTGGATCTGTGACCTTCTGTTTCTATTGCCTGTAAACTGTTAGTGTCTTCTTAAGGACTGTTCCATTATAGCTGCATTGCAATAATTCTTTATGGTTCAGTGAACCAGTATGAAAAACATTGTTTAAACCCTTTCCAGTATCTGTAAAGCTTATTTGGGAGGAAAAAGGGATGTTTCTCTTTTTTTTGCTGAGTTTATATATGTTTGTAAAGGTGTCTTTGAGTCACCATCATCGTAAATTCTTCTTGTGTGTATATATATAAAATTATTTTTACTTTTTAATTTTATTATTCGCTGGCTCCATCTGTCTGAAAGTTCTCCAAGCCACCGGTATGTGGGACACGCATCATTAAAAGTAAAAGCGTGTGTTTGGAGTGGGTTCTTTGTCTCGGAGGGTCTTGCAGGGGGTTGGGAGTTCAGGGGTAGGAAGCTTAATAAGGAGGGGACAGTCGTTCCCCAGAACTACACAATAACTCGCACAACAGAGGCATTGTAAGGAAAGTCCATGTCTTCATCACCAGCCACATGTCTGGCAAACACCAGCTGACCACTGCAATAACATTTATCAAATGAGTGTAATATGTAACAACATGGCAAGAGACCAATGCCTTATCCAACTTTAACAATAAGAAAAACTCTTTTATCATGGAACTGAACGCCTCCTGCAAATACTCAAACTTGAGCTGCTGTAAAAGTTTCCTGTCAAAACACATTGTATATCAAAAGGAGCTTGTCTTTATCGTCTTTCCTCTAAAGTTGATCTGGAGGTGAAAACAGCAACAACTCCAGTGGCTTTTTAGGGGACTCAGACGTCACAACAGCACCTCAACGCCCTCATTAGGACAGTTTGCAATTCAAATGTGTTTGTCTTGGTGCTCTTCCTTTGTCACTCCACCAAAAGGTACATCAGCTCCCCCATGCCGTGATACTCGCATGCTACACAGTGAAGAGGTGACAAAATGGCTTCATGTTAGATCAGGTTTGTGCATTTCTATGGGTACAAATTATATAAAATGATCAGTGTATGTATGTAAAACTGCTGTGAAACATTTCTTAGAGTTTAGACACTTAAGGGCCACTTAAAATGTATTAATTCACTGCAATGTATCACACCAAATGGCAATCATTTAAAAAAGCCATTACAAATTATATTTTCAATTTTTGCATTTATTTTCTCTAATGCAATTGAATGTTTTGTTAAATGTGGCATAATATATATATAGAAGGGCCATGTCACCTTTCTGGTATATGTTTTTGCGTATAGGCTATATATATATTTATAGACTGGGACCCAGTTATAATTTCGAATAAAACTTCATATTCATTAAAGAATCCTAAAAACAAAATGGATAATGATTTCCACCTAAATGTTAAGCCTATTGTATTAAACTGCTTTTAACAAGAAACATTTCTTGAGCAGCAAATCAGCATATTAGATTGATTTCTGAAGGATCATGTGACACTGAAAACGGGAGTAATGGTTATCATGCTAAATTATATATATTTTTTAATTCACCCACAGTCTAAGCTCAAAGAAGATGGCTCTTTTTCTTTCATTTTTTTAATAACTCCACATTGTAAATTACAGAATCTTGACATTGTTATTTGTACACATATACATCTTATGTACAATTCATAGTACTTTTTACACTGTTCTTATTCCAACAAATGTAGCTAACACCATTGGCTCAAGTCCAGGTCAAATTTAAATCAGGCTATGCTACAAACAAGGCATGTAATTCATAAATAGCAAGCACCTCAAATTATTAAATATGCCTTTGGCATTGAGGAAAGAAAATTTGCAATTCAAATAATACAAATCTACCTATATGAAATAAATACGCAGTTTGCTCAAATTCAGTTTGGTTAAACTCACTTCTGAGGGGTAAAAAAAAAAACAGTCAAGTCTTCCAGGAATATCTTCCAATCACAGAAGAAAAAAAGCACGGGAATGATGTTCACAAAAGATTTAAGAAAATAAACCACTAACCGATTCTGCTCGTCTTACAGGGTTGTCCGGTTTAACAAGCAGACTTAGCACCACTGGGTTGACATTGGACCACATTAACGACAAAACTCTGAACATTTCATAACAAGCGCACACATACACACACACAATAAAATTCAATTCTATTTACACAACATAAAAGGTAACATATGATCCATGAAGCAGCAGCATTTGTGCAGACCTCTGAGTTCGTAAGCAGGTTAAGTCTGAGACTGAGATCATTCACGTTTCACTTCTAGCTTCAGAAAATGGATTTGAATCCATTCTTCGATGGAAGGCACTTTTGAGTGCTTCAAATACTGCTTCAGGAAACCAAATTTAGGTTCTCCCTCAATTTCACACATAACATCTGAGGTTTTGTGAGCTACGGCATCTCAGCCGTTGATTTGTTTCCTATAGACCACCCCAAAAGAACCACGACTGTATGTCTCTGGATGCGTCGGTCTAGAAGGTCTCGCATCTCTGGGCTGTGATGGCAATAATGAAGACTAGCTACGCCATGTTCTCCTCAAACCCGTCAGACAGCAGGTTTCTCAGTGCTTTTAGGAGGGGTCAATATTCCCGCTACAGCCAACGGAGACATCCGGTCCAAGCTGTCCTGCTGCCGATTATGTGCTTCGCTCTGAAAAGACACACAAGATTGTGTTAAAACATGTTAAATCTTAAATGAGCCTGACTGAGGAGACAATGGAAATGAGAACTGACCAGCATGGCCAGATAGTCCACGTGGGTCTGTGTGTTGTGTCGATCTTCTGCCGCCACCTTTTTGAAGTCCTTCAGCTGTGGTCTGGGCCATTCGCCTACCGTCCGCACAAATGGGTTCATCCACCGCACACAGCTTGATATGCTGTCCCATGTGAGCCCTGGTGGGAAAGAAAAAGGAAATACTTAGCCCAGTTCAGACACAACAACTTCCATCATTAAAGCACATCCAAGATCAGAAAGCTCACCTGATACTTTATGGACCGTTTCAAAAGACGTAAAGTGACAAAATGCAGCAGCAGCGAGGACTCCATACTGGTAATCCAAAGAATTAATGTCCAAAATGCACAGATCCAACAACTGCAAGAGTCAGAAGGGGCGTCAAGATATATCAAAACAACAATATACATACTCACTTCAAAGGAGCTAAAGTCTCACCTGTGCGATTTGGATGTAGGTTTCCTGTGAGAACTGAGGAATGAGGAAACTGGCGTCATCCTTCAAAGAGTCCACTTGAGAGTAGAGCTTCAACCATGAGATGACTGTCTCAGGACAGAGGTCCCAATTTAACGCCTTCAACATGACAAGCTCTTTAGAAAGAATCTCCTCCTCATTACAGGCCCCGTCCGTCACATAAGCAAACTCCTGCAGCTTTGGCGGGTAAATCTCCTGTGTCAAACAGAGATATTTGTGAAAAAAGTGGCACTGTGGAGTTCTGTGATGTTCTTCAGTTGACTTTAATAGAGATGCACCGATTGATCGGCTGGTGACCGGAATCGGCCGATTTTCACGTGATCGGCGACCGGCCGGTCAGTCTGACATATTACGATTTTATGCCGGTCAAATCTGCACTCTGGCGCTGCATGATTAACATCGCGCAACATCAGCATCACACGTGCACACGGAATGCACATGTAGGAAACCTCGTGAAGTATGGCCGTTTCACACCGCAAGCGTGAGCAGCGCGTTTTTTTTTTTTGGCGTGCATGTTAATCAACGAGTGCATTCACACCGCGAGCAGGAGCAGCGCGTGAGCAGCAGTGAAGCACGGGTTTCGGCGCAGAGTCTATTTGCTGCGCTGCTCGCGTTTAATTAAAGTGAAAGCACACGTTTGATGGACAAAATAAATATGATTTCACTAGGGCTGACTTCTAATAGTCGAGGATTCGACGATTCGATTCGGAGAGGTCTGATTCGACTGTGAACCTCATAGTCGAATAGTAGGGAAGTGTTATGTAACCAATAGGGGTGTGACGGTTATTATATAACAGTGAGACCGACGGTTATAGTTGAACACCGTCATTAGAACTCTATAACCGCTAAAACCCTGCTATTCAAATATTTTTTACAAACATTTTTTATCATAGAGAATGTTTAAAAACTAATATCATCTTACGAGGGAAGCGGAGGCGGAGTTAGTGGTGCGTCGGAGGCTGAGTGCTGGAGATGATTCGGGAGAGGTCTGTGCACCTTTACCGATCAGAGCGCGCGCTGACACGGAGTAAAGCCTTCTTTATACCCGACACGTCCGCACGAGCGCGAAGGTGCGCACGGCAAAAAAATGACGCGTTGGGTGCGCAAGACCGGCAAGACCCAATTTCGCTTGGCTGTGTGCACAGCTTTTTTGTAACAGCGCGCGCGACGCCGCATCCGAGGATGAACGACTTCAAGCCGAATCTGCCCGAGCATGTAGGCTACGTCTCACCGCACCGGCACGCAGTTTGCGCGTCTAAATTGCAAAGTTCATTGCAAAGTTTTTTTGTTAAGGTTTTGTTTACTGTGTGTGATTTATTTAAAACAAAGCACGTTCATTGCAACGTTTGTTTTTTTTGTTAAGGATTCATTTAATGGAAAGCACATTCACTTCTAGTTGTCTTGCTGTTCATTTTAAATAAACGTAGAGCGAGTTGTCCTATAACAGACGAACAGTTATTCAACCGAACGTCTAGCTGCTATCTAAAAAAAAAAAAAAAAAAAAGGTTCGACTATCAGTCGATTCAGATTCGACTATGAAAATCCTTAGTCGAAAACAGCCCTAGATTTCACACCAAAAGTGCCCAAAATGCACAGAATTTGCATGTCTGGTGTGTTTTAAAAAGAACTGGAGTATATGTCAGAAAGAAAATGAATACTCAAAAATATTTATAGAAAATGTACCCATTTAAACTTGTTTTTATTAGGGCTGTCAGTTAAACGCGTTATTAACGGCGTTAACGCAAACCCATTTTAACGGCGTTAATTTTTTTATCGCGCGATTAACGGTCTTTTTGGCCTAGCAAACTTTGTAGTTTTTTTTTCACATGCTTTTGCAACAGGACGCGGCATGCGCAGCGCTGCGCTATGAAACCCATTCATTTCAATGGCTTGCGCCGCGCGAGGACGTTTTGAAAGCGCAAGCGGATCTAGCTAGACCGGAAACAAAACAACAGGCATGCCGCACACACTTGTTTAGGCTTGCGAGCCGGCCAAATAGTAGGTTAACGTTACGTTTTGAGTGGATGACGAGCGCGAGACGCCGAAATGGATGCCAATAAGATTCTGAATGGAAAGTTTACTTTTAAAAAGGTGCCAAATGGTTCCATTGACAAGACCAAAGTGATCTGTGTGTTTTGTCGTTGTGAACTGAGCTATCATCATCGCAGCACGTCCAGTCTGAAATACCACTTGATGGCTAAGCAGTGGCACACACACACACACAGCTGATGCGAATTCTCCGCCCCCTCGTCAATATCAGGACCTCGTCAGTATTTCTTTCACCCTTTTATTGATGGACAGTGTTACATTGTGTGAGAGATTATTTGCTCCAAGTGAGAATGTTAGTGTGAAATTGAACACAGTATTGTCAATGTTGTTTTCAATAAAAAAACATTTGCACAAAGCAAGCCGATCCACTTTTCCATGTTGATAAGAGCATTAAAATGAGAAAAAAGAATGGGACAAAAAGAAATCAAGAGACATTTAGAATAGATAAAAATGTGTGATTAATCGCGAGTTAACTATGACATTAATGCGATTAATCGCGATTAAATATTTTAATCGTTTGACAGCACTAGTTTTTATTATTTCCCAATCGTTTCCCCACTTGCTCCACTTACCCGAGCTTAGCGCTTGTTTAGCTTGGCTGGACATGTGTCAGATGAGAGAAGAACTGTTTGTGAAATAAAACTTGCCATTGATGTACAAGTGATTGCAATAGGCCTGTGTGTGTTTTGAGAAATATCTTTATACTGCAAGGCTACATTTTATTTTATTTTTATTTGTTATTTATATATTATTTTATTCCCATTAGCTGTTTTCATCCAGAAGTTTAGTTTGCTAAATATATCAATTTGTTTTAGTTGGATATTGGATGTGAAAAGAAGGAAATGGTTCTTCCATAACACTGCACTTTAGATGTGTGTGAATTTCCCACACCAGGAGTAATTTTTTATATAGTTCTATTTTATAGTGATTATCTGTTCAAAAAATGTTCTATGCAAAATGTTCTATTAAAGAGAAGATAGAAAATAAACATTTTTGTGTGCTGTAAAGTGGTTAGAAAAAATTAAATCGGAATCGGCTAAAATTGGTATCGGCAGGTCAAACTCAAGAAAAATCGGAAAATCGGCCTAGAATATTGTAATCGGTGCATCTCTAGACTTTAATATTGACTACAAAATGTATTAACACTGTCAAAACAAAGTCTCCAAAGTTTAAGTACCTCTATCTTTGAGGCTATGAAGAGTGATGTTATGCCGATGAGCTGCAGTTGATCTTTGCCAGTGTCTTTCTGAGTGAGCATGAAGCGATCAAAGATGTCCTGAGCCAAGTAAAACGTCTCTCGGTGCAGAGTATAAACTTCGCTGACCTTCACAGAAAGAATTTAATATCATATTAAACATTTAGATTACAAGAAATAAAATTGTTGTTTTTTTTACAAATGTGGATGAAAACAAACATACCTCTATGAGCCAGTCCAGTAGAATAGACCTCATTTTGGGCTGCAGGGCTGGATGTTGCTGGATGAAGCTCTTGTCATGTACATACTTCAGCTCCTTGTTCAGCATCTTTATCCACACATCATCTGAACTGGCCCAACTGTCAGGACAACAGTAAATTAAACCAGAGAGAAAGCATTGAATGATATTTAACCTAATTTATCCTGCTGGTAATAAACTAACAATACATGACTCGGGAAATGTTTCAAGTGGTGAAAAGCAAATCAAGCCAAATAGTTTTTACTGATTTTGGATTAGTTAGAGAAAAAAATGGGTAACGTTGTCAAGTGTTCATTTCATTACGCATTATTTGTAGAAAAAAAAAACATTTATTATAAGCATTTAATTTCACTTTTCAAAGCATGAGACGCTGTGATCAGGTCCTACCTGAGGCATGGCAGTGGAGAGGGCTTCACAAAGAGGTTCTTGAATCTGAAGCGCTTAAAACCAGAGAGATTACCGGTCTCCTCATGAGTCTCCTTCTGAGGAGTCTCGATTAAGACACTGGGATTATTATCACCTTCAAAACAACGGTTCTAGAAAAAGAAAAATATGCTGTTACTACTTGGGTTATATGAATAAGGCTCAACCAAATACACTTACATAAGGCATGTATAAGAACAGAGTAAGCATAGTGTTTCCATTACATTTCTTTTCATAAAAACACTTATAGTGTGCATAGTATATAGGTTATATTCTGTATTGCTGCACAGGAATATCCTTTCAGGTATCAAATACCACCATTGCATGTTTCTGAACTCTTATTAATATAGCTTCAAAACAAAGTTAATACTAAAGATAACAAATACTATACTAAACTAAACACCTATCCCCCCCCCCCCCCCCCCCCCCCCCCCCCCCAATCAGTAAATAAAATAATTATTTTCGCGGGCTGGTGAATAAAGGGAATAAACGCGGGAGGGTCTGGCGCGCTGATTATCCCAGTGAGACCATTACTGCGCATGACTGAACTACTGCATAATAAACTGACTGCTAGTGAAACACTAACATAGGCTATATGCTAACAAACTAACATTCCTTAAACTAAACACAATTAGTTTGGCTCTTGGATGAATAATACAAATCATGTACAAATATACATTTTACTAATGATAATACAAATTAGCTCACCTGAATTTCATAATTTTGTTTCTTAGCTGCTGACGGGATTCTTCTATTGCACTGCTGAAAATAAGGTTTTGATATTTAAATATTTGCGTACATTGGAAAGAAGATTATACAATTTTCAGTTACATATTATGTCAAATAAATAGCAATATCTCACCTCGCCTTTTCTTTTCCTCTGCGGTTTGTTCTGTTCTGGTGCGTTTTCATTTCTTTCTTGTAATGTGTGGCGACTGCTATTGTAATACAGAAGTAATACAAAATAAGTATTGTCGTTTATTTAGGGTTAGCGTAAATAACATATTGATTCGACAAACAAATAGTTCTTACCTGCGTCTTGACATTTTCTAAACAAATGGTGTGCTTTTCTCCTGTGAACCAGAAACATACAACGTTAAGTCACAATGTAAGTTAATAACCACAAGTAAAAGAATAATAACGACGTAACTACATGTCGTCTATAAAGCACGATAAAAATATCTTTAATAAAGCGTTTAAAATAAATACTTTCGACAAAAAGTCTTAACAATAACGTTAAGCCATTTGACTGGAGCGAAGTACATACATGACCAGAAATAGTCTATCATACTTCTATAATTCACACGAACTAAAAGCCAAACAGTTAAAAAATCTAAAAAGCATTGAGAGTAAATGCAAAGTCTGCACATGCAGTAGTATCATCATTTGATGTTTTTACAGAAACCAGAAATACGTGATCCAGTTCTGTAAGTTTATGAAAGGACAGTCCCCGCCAATTTACATGAAGCGGGAGACTACAGCTGCCCCCACAAAAACCCATCTGAGAGCTATTAAACGCGCATTAAACACCAGTTTAACCGAGAATACTGTTCAGGGAACTCCTTAGTGTCTAGAAAATCCATACGACTCTTAACAATATCAATGATTTTCTTAATTTATGAAAGGAGTTTACAAAGACACGTCCACGTACATACTATCTAATCTGGCGCCTAGCAGAGCTGGCTAATTTTCAGCAACATCCCCCTCTGAGCTCGACATTACAGTAAACATTTGGCTATGAGATAGTTCTGAAAATATGAATTGTCCCTTATTCCTAAATAATAAAGTTAAATACAGCTGCTTTTAAGGGTCCCGCAAGGATCTTCATCTGCATCTAGTCGTAGATAGATGGCTGGTTTAAAGGCTCAAACATCCGTTTTAAAGCAACAGTAACATAAAACAACAGCACGGTTCCTGCTAAAACATGACTGTAACACGATTTTGAAGAAGTAAGATTAAAGTAAGAAATGTTATAGCTGAAAGAAGACTAAAGTAAGTGTCCTTACCGTAGAGTTCAGTGCGAATGAATGAATGAATGGCGCCAAGCATTATATAGTCAAGCGGTTCGCGGCTACTGCGCATGCGTGGCGCTCTTTTCAGCTTTTAAAAACAACCCAAAAAACTATATATAACATTGTGTTTTCGAGCTAAAAATGATCAGTTGGCCTGATGTGTATTGTTTAAAAAAATCCGCATTGATTTATAAATGATTATGTTGATCGTTATTGAGAAACCTACGGGAATGTATGTGGTTTGTAGACTTGCTTTTGGCCGCGCCGACCTTTGGTTTAAATATGTAAAAAACGCGCTTTCCTGCTTTCCCGGTTAAACGAATCCGGGGCCCGAGGACCTAATGCATCATATGCGAGTGGGTCTGTGTTTTAAACATTGCATTAATGTGAAATTATGAGACTTTTTTTAGTCGAAGGAGACGCTTCCTAGTTTGACAGCTTCTCGTGGGCGGGGATTTGATTCGGTCTGACCAATCATCGTTATTCCACGAGAAACAACGTGCTCTTGTAAACAAACCCATGAGAAGAGAGATCAGCCTTTCTGACAGGCAATGAAAAGGGTGTAGAAATGTATTTTTAGCATCAATCCTGTCGTAATATTACTTTCATTTCACAATCATAGGTGTAAATGTATCAACTAGAAGGGTTTTTTCTGTTGTTTTCAAGGAAATGATAATTCTGTCACGATATACCAATTTTCTGACTAGGGGTTTAAAGGTCTTACTCCCTGGTTACTTTGTTATTTTGTTCCAACCATAAAATTACACGACCACACTAGTATACATAACGTTACAGCAGGGTTTCCGGCGAGAGAAACACAAAATAAAACACTCAGAAAAGAGAGTTCTGTTCATATAAAATCAACGCGACAGGTTTCGTACTTAAACATGTGAACGAGCAATATTGCATTCCATCAACCGTTTGAGAGATCAAAATCCCAAAAATACATTTTTGGAAGCGAAATCGGCGCGAATTCATCAACAGTAATCCCGCTCAACCTTTTGTATATGTTAAAATACGTCACATCCGGGGTGAAGAAACTAACGTTACTGTCAGCACAAATGAACTTCCTTATAAATAATTTATTTTAATAGGCATTTTAATTTTGTGAGTGCATTCATTTTTTCCCTGGCCAAATAAAAACAATTATTAATTGAAATACATTGTTAATTTAAAAAATATATTGGTATCATTAATACTAAAATCCACAAGACATAGAAATTAAACATGGTAGATTTTGGTTAATGGTAGCATTTTAAATATATATTTATTGGGATGCATGTAATCATCCAGTAGAAGAACGAGGAGGGCACAATTAAAAGGGTACAGTTAGAAATCTGCATTATTAAGGTTAAAACCCACACTGGTACAATGAATAATAAGCTTGCACTAATCATGGCTTGGGATTCTTGAGAGATTAGTTGGGTTGAGTTACAGCTTGGTATGGGATCTTGAAACACTCCTGAGAGGAAAGCTTTCATTAAAAGTTGGTGAGGTGGTTACAGTATAACTTGCGCATATGATGCCAGAACATGCAAACACCTACCTAGTCTATAAGGCCGGCATCATACATACATATACATTATATTTGAACATTTCGTTTTACTAATAGAAAAGGAAGAAAACGTTAGTTTGTATTAAAACATTTATTGAGAAGAGAGTATACATACTGACAAATAGGTTTCAAGACATATGAAATGAACAATTTATTTGCAAATTATACTACCCATACAAAACAGTTTGTGTCTGACATGTATCCAAAACATTTAAGTTCAAGAAAAAGATAAATAAACAATGCTAAAACCCTACACTTTTGGCAAAGTGCTGTATTATTCCAGTAAACTAAAAATCAACCAAAGCATAGTCTAAAACTTAGCAATGCCACAGAAAATATTCTTCACACATTAAACACAGAAAACATTTGCTACATTTCGTGTAAAAAGTTGACAGAGCAAGTGGTTCACAGAGATAAGGTAATCCTCTGTGCGTAGTAAAATTACATTTGTTTGTGTCCCTTTGGACAAATTTCAAGTTCTTCACGGATGCATTATCATACTGTTCAACTGGAAGGCACATGATCCCCAAATGCATTTCAAGGCAAAATGAAATCCCTGTTGTGAATACCAAAAGTCTACTGACATAGGGAAAGAGGCCCTCCAGTATTACTCGAGGAATATAAAGAGAACCATCCGTCCCTTTTCCATTCCCTTCGTCCACAGAAAGAAATGACAGAAAATGCAATATACTGCTCAACGCAGACTGCAGCAAGCTAAAGAAAAGAAGAGAAGCTGTAGTTGTTTTCCTTGAGTTGCTCATGCATATAAAATGCATTCGGCTGAATGTCAGAGTTAATGAATTCAGTTGAATTCATTTACCTTGGCAGAGTGACGGGAAATTTACAACACCAGGTCTCGAGCGATAAAGGAATAAGAAGTTCATTGCTACTTTAAATATTTCGCTCAGCAATATACAACGTGTAACTAAATAAAACATGAAAAAGGCATATTACACAAAAAGTCACTACATTGATCAAAATTAAAATGCTAACAGTTCCACTCCGTCGTCAACGTTTTTAACAGTCAATTAAGAGAGAGAGTTTGTTTCACAGTCCTCGGAGGAGCAGGCGTTTTGCTTTCATTCAAAGTGTGAGATGCACGTTATGTTAAAGATTTACATCAATTACAAATATTTCCACAAGGTAACATAGAGATTTACAAAGTTAGAGGTTTTCTAGTATGTACAGAGACAGTTTACCACCTGCAAGTAATCTGCATTCTTAGCAAAGAGCAAAGGTGAACAGTGATGACCCTGAGACATGTACTGCAGATATAGAGCAAACATGAAAAACAACATTTCAACACTTGATGTGTTTTTTTTTTTGTGTGTGTTGGTTTTCTCACCTGTTGGAAAATTAGCACTATACAGTCATACATCAAATCAATCACTAAAAATAGGAAAAAACTGCTTACATACATATCTATGCCGATAACACACATTCTTATCAACTTCATACTGATATGTAATATATTCAATATTTTTTTCTTTTGAAAATATTTTGGAAGTTTTTTAAATATATTTTGAAATCTACTATGGAAACAAGGCTTTTAGTGATAATAAACCCAGTATACTTTACCATTTTTTTTAAAGAGGAAAAAAACAAAAAACAAAGAGGAAGAAAGCACTGATCTACAGAGTCACAGGCAGGTTCCTTCCTAACCATAAAAGTGCTGCTGATGATTTCATCACTGATGCGATTGAAATTAGTATGGCTTCAAAAAAAGCAACGAAAGCGTCAAGCTGCCTACACATGCTCGAAACAGAGCACTACAACATCATGCTCACTATAACAAAACACTTGGTTATTCAACCTTCATGACATATAACATAAGACCGAACATAACAGATGGAGCTTATATAGGAAACGCGTGACGTGATGCAGACACATTCAGGTCGAGCGGAACCTGCCGTGAAGTAAAGTGACCTATGGCATTGATTCTAAAGGACTCCGTTCCTTCTGGCGAATTCTCCCAGTGAGGAGAGGGCGGCGTGCAGGGGAGGACGGGGGAGTGCAGTTGGGACCGTTTCAGTAGTTGTACTGCCTCTGTCCCGGCTGGTGAACGTAGCCTCCGGTGGCTTTGGCCTGTCTGGTTCCGCCTTCGCGCAACAGGTTGAGGCGGCGAAGGGCGTTGCGGGACAGCTGCTGGCGCTCCACATTGTCACGGATGCGCTGAGCCAGACGGACGTTCTTGGTCTGCTCCAGAAACCCTGCGTGAGCAGCGACCAGAGCGGCTGCGTAGCAGCCAGAAGGGTGACTCGGCCGACGCTGAACTTCAGATCTACAAAGCCAAACAGAATCCGTCAGATTCGAATATAATATTCTAATGTATGTTATATAATAAACTCTGTAAATAAACTCTGTAAACTCAATAAAAAACTCTGAATCTGCCCTTCACCTTAAAATCGATGGCTCACGGGTGGCGTCCTTGGCAGGTCGTTGACGAGGGTTGTGAACGGCGTACACGGACATGCTGGGGTGCTCGATCAGCAGGTTCTCCAGAGGACTGGTCTCTAGCAGGACCGGAGCTCTGCCTCCAGCCATGAAACATGGCGGAGGGGTGATGAACCAGCTCTCTTCAAGCCCACATGTCGCCTCTAGACGCAAGAAGTTGACGTCCTCTGCGTCTGTGTCTGTCGCCGAATCCAGAGAGGAGCAGGAGGAGCAGCGCACAGGAGAGTCCAGGGGAGCGACATTGTCAGAGCACACATCCACCAGATCATCTCCACACACACCGGAGCAGGCTTTCGCTACATGATAGGATGTACAGAGAGGATGTTACTACAGTGAAATTACTATTAGAATTAAACTTCGGCATGAAACTGAAGTTGTGATCATCTTTTCTTTCCTATTGTGTAATATATCTGAGCTTCTCGAATTAGAAAAATGTAGGGCAGGAATTGATTTTGTCCATTGGGAATTAATTGAGTATTGGATCATTGTCATTTTAAAAAACGAATAATGTACATGGATAAATTATTTATAACGAACACTGCAATATTCCATAAAATTTTCATGAAACCTTGAATCCCTTGGCTTGTTGAGGAGAGGAGCGCTATTCATTTTTGAAGCAATTGAAGGAGTACGTTTAAAGTCATATGTAGGGAGGAGAATATCGCACAAAATGACTTGGGACAGTAAAAGACTGCCTAGAATGACCTAGCAAGCACCTATCACCAACTTAACCACCACACAGACCATCTTAGCAATGACTAAGAATAGCTGTCAGTGGGTATTCTTCAGAAAAAAAGTTCACAACATTTTTTATATATATCAAACTTGTGAAGTACATAAAATGGAACCAAAATTCAGCCATGGTTTATATCGAAAACATCATGTCACTGGCTCTATGGAAAACAAGTCATGTGAATAGACAGAAACGAAGAGAGTCAATATTTTTGGCCACACTTCATTTCTATTTGTACTCTTTGTGGCTCCTGGCAGGTAACCAAAACTGGTGTAAACAGCTGGCTTTTGGGCAGTCTTTGAAGCGCTACACTTTCAGTGGCCTCTAGAGGGCAGTGCGATTGAACAATCCTTCACTCCCGTACTTGGACTGACCAAATGCAGTTCATGTGACAGATTTGAAAAACAGATAACAATTCATATATTTGCACTAAATGTAACAAGACTAACTAGAAAGTCCCACACCCATAGTACTGATGTTATAGCACACACAGAACTTCCCTTGCATAGAGCCACACCTTGTTTATTTGTAGACTTGCAGCATCCTGCCAGATGACATTGAACATTTTCTCAACTCAGCTGGTTAGAAAGCTCTTAACCTTCTTATGGCACTCTTCAATGTCCCAGAGAAGCCAGTTAACCTTTAATCCCCTTGCCATGATGGGAAAATTCTCACATAGAGATATTTCCATCAAACTATTTGGATATGAAACGAGAGAAATGTTTTTAATCTCCTGTCCCCTCCTGTCTAACTCAGCCTTCAGGCAACGATTGATGTTTGTAATAATTCCGTGTTCAAGGCCTACTCTCGTTATGAGCATAAACGGTAACTTAATCGGTCCTATTTTTACCGCAGACCCCACCTAGACACTTTTGTCTGACAAGCTAAAAGCGTTGTTGCCCATAAACATGTCTGTTCCTCCTGTCCTAACAGGGGTAAACTGGGCCAACCAGATTGCCTTGCACCTAAAATATTCACACACACACAATATGAGAAGGCCTGTATTTGGGCAGCTTATGAGAGGCATCATGTTAATGAGGGCATTGAGTCTGTTCCAGGTTTTACAGAATCTGTAACATGGCTCCAGCTGACCATGTCATCAGTATCAACTGAGGTGAGGTAGGGTCATATCATTCATTAGAGGACGTTTGCATGCACTGCACTGATTTCGGGGGGAAATATGCAGGAGTCTGTTGAATGCATTTAAAAGTCGATACAAATTGCAGTTTGCAATCCCCTTTTATTTCAGAGTAAACGGGATATTCTATGAGAAAAATGTAGAGCGAGACTTGACTCTATATGTCGGAAATTTGGGGACTTTGTTGATTCGATTTAGAGATGTGGGGATTCCACTAAAAATGAATCATTTACAATAAGATCTATAACATGCGTTTTCATTTCATGCCCATTTTAACATTATCCCATGGACTGTTCGGCTTGTGATGTGATGTGAACGTAAAAAGAAATGTAGAAGAACAGCATGTACATTTTGATTTAAGATTCTGAGACATTTTTTAAAATTTGAAATACCATGATAAATAAAGGTGTGATGAATGATTGATGAATCATTCATGATACGGTCACGAACATGCATTAAAAAAGTAAAAGGTTTTAATTTTATTTTCATGTTGACTTTGAATGTGTTAAACGAAACTGAGATCCTCATTTTCTTGATGCAAACTAAGCCTGTTCCTATCTGCATTTAAAAAGAACACAAGGTCCATTTTTCACTTTGCTGATCAAAAACAAGATAAGCAAGGAAGATCTCTCACCTAGATAATCGACCAGAATCCACTCATCGTCCTCCTCCTTCTCGTTGAAGTCTGGATCCACAGGACATCCACTGCCCTCCTCCAGGGAGTCTCCAAACAAGATGCTGGTGAACCTCTGAAACATGTTTTTGTCCCGGGCAGAGGCGTGAGGCTGGACAGTCCTGCTGGGAGTGGGCGAGGGCCGAGCTCTTTGGTCATCAGCTGCGGGAGCCGCTCACTGAGATCTTAATAAAGGTGCTGAAGTGCATTAGTTACTCCTTCTCAGCTGAGGAACACCTGATGAAGTTCAGCCATTGCTTTTGTTGATTGTGCAAAAACAGGCCCTGGAGGACAAGCGAGAAGACAACATTGTTGTTAATGACAATGTAGACGCAAACAACACAAACTGACCAGCCTTCAAGTACAAAACATTTCCTGGTGATGAGCAGGTCATGTTCTGTTGCGATTAGCAATAAATTACAGGTTCACGCTTATAAAAGACAGACGGATATTCCTGAGAACTGACCAGCCAAAACAAAGCAGTCTAAAGTGTCTCTGCTGTCACAGATACTGCCTGTCCTCTTCACATGAAGCTGATGCCTATGAAAACTGATCTTTGCACAGTTACACCCAGCCTCGTTCAGGACTATGACTCATGAGGGTACCCTTTTCTGTTGTTTTGCTTGCGACAACAAAGAGAAACATCTGTGAAGTGAAGGACTACAAGCTGTTCTTCACCCCACAGCATTATTGAAACAAGACAAACAATTCATACTCCCCTCCACCTGCTCATATAGTCATGGCAGCAGTCTTTGTTTGTGTGATTAGGGGGGTGGGGGCTATTATGGGGTCACATACATATAATAAACACCCTTCAGAACCCCAAAAAGAGGATTATAGACTGACAAGCAGTGATAAGCAGTCCTGGGATGGCTTTGTCTCAGCAGCCTAGAGGAAAACTGTATGGCTCAGAGCCAGAGGTCAGATTTAATTGTATAAAAATAACTGGGAACTGGGTTTTAATTCCCAATATTTAGGAGATCATACGAAATATCTAACATATCTATATTCCTCAAAGCTAAGAGACTCAAGCAAAAGTTTCAATTTGATGCCCGTTTAATCTAGTCATCCATGTAAAGGTGATGTACAGAGTATAATAAAAGACATAAAATCTGCCCTAATGTGTACAGATTATACAGCCCACTACAGAAAAAAGAAAGACATTTGTAAGGCTATTGATTCTACATGTCAAACGAGCAATAAAATAAAACACGGGGGGGGGGGGGGGGGGGGTTGGGGGGGGGGGGGGGAATGCAAAGTGCAATAAAATAGTGCACATTAATCTGATTATGCCCATGACATGACAATGGCCCCGTTTAGGCTGAAAATAACAACATTTGCAATTAAAGCAGAATATAGGCTAATGGAACTGCACTCGCTTCTGAAAACCCTTAAACCAGCCTATAAGACTGGCCTCCCACCTGTCCAAGATGGTCCTCAGCTGGTTTCCCCACAGACCTGATGAAAAGTGCCCAAAACCCTTCTAAAACAAGTCAAAACCAGCAAACAATCTTAGACTGGTTTAAGCATTTTTTACAGCAGCTTGAACGTACAATTACATTACACTATGTAGAGTAGAAGTTTTTTTTGTGCAGGCCCAAAACTGAACACTGCACATATTTCAAAATTCATTCACAGCTTTGTTCAAACTACTGGTCGACATTGGCAAAAAAAAAATATATATATATATAGGCTATATATATAGATAAATAAAAATAAAATAGTAGAACAACATTTAATGTCGAAGTAAAGAAAAACAGCGTCAAAGTTGACATATGGAGTGCAGGAAAGCAAAATGCCTCATACTTAAGGTAACATAGCTACATAAGGTAACACTCATAAACAACTAAACCCCTTATAAAACTGATAGACTACTAATCTGTTAACAACGCAAACATGCATTGGATAAGCAATTTGCACTGGGAAATCGAAATTGCAAAGATGCAGAACTATACGAAAGCTGCATTTGCATGTCATATTATGATGTTTTATTGTCCCAAACACACAGAGACTGGCCGGGGGAGGGATGAGTGTAACCCTACACCGACCGACTGGGCGGAACGAGAACCCAAACGCTTCAACTGGCTCTTGCTGAACAAAGCTTAATCCGTTAAAATCCAAACATGCTCACATTGCAGAAACAACAGACACAAACAATGAATATTTCAGATGGCCTGCAGGCTTTGACAGGTTGTGCAGAGCCTCGATATATTTAAAAGCATTTTTTTTACTTTTTTTTTTTTTTTTTTACATTTACATTTCTTTTTACAACCTCTATTGATCAAAATTGATGAAACATTCGTAGTATTTTTTAAGTCCGAAACTTTTCTTTAACGAATTAAACCAGAATGTCTTTCGATCAACAACAAAGAGGTTTTAACTCACCTGCGGCAAAAAGTAATGTAAACAGGAAGAGGGTTGACTTCAAGAACAAAAACAGATGAGGTAGAATTTTTGTCGAGCGATATATAAAAATATATAAATACAATTCTTCCTGGAAGAAATTAAAAGTTTATGGACCCTTTAGTTCGGAGTTTAGCAGTCGGTTCTTTTTCTTTTCTCCTCCGAGGTCTCAACTGCTCCCTTTGTTATTGTTGTGGAAAATTAACAGCTGATCGGTCTATACGTCACTGAGCACGGCCCACAGGCGGGGCTTGTCAGAACCCTCTCAGCCAATGAAATCGCGCCCCTGACTATGACTGACTGTCACCAACGCACGTGACCCATCCCGAGAAAGGCAAGACCAGGCAGAGCACTCCATGTTAAGGAGTGTCACCCAGTAATTGTTGGGTTGTACAAAGTTTTTAAAAATATGCTTTAAATTTGTTTTTATTATTATAATTTGAGTTACTTAACCTTTAAAGCATTTTTGACTGGACATGATTATATAAATTATAAACAAGAATCTAGTCACATAGCATAACTGAAATGACTGGAATTTTTTCACTGATTTTCAAGTTTAACCAGTGTGATTACACTTAAAAAAAATTAAACTATGTTAATTAGTACCTTTCTCAATTTAAATCCAACTAAACAAACTGCAAAGAGAGCAGCAAAGTATAATGTACATTCAGTCAGTCATGAACCATTAAAATGCATTTATTTTCATACCACATAAATAAATGGATGTAGACTTGATTTTCATTAGAATAGAACAGCTTCATATAGAAATATCTGAATGCCACAATGGACAAGAATCAAGTATTCCAGAGAGCATTCAATAATTAAAAAGCTCAAGCAAAACTGTCATTTTGGGGGTACATTGTAAACGATATGTTCTTTTTAGCCCTTAAGTTAAGTAAAATGTGTAAAACAAAACATTGAAATCCTTCCTTTTGAAGATGTAGGTCACCAGTTTTTAGGGAACAAAGCACTCCACCCCCCTCAACACCACTCGGATGGATGTGGTACGAGAGGCCCGTTCTGATTCAGCAACTAGTTTGAACAAAATGACTTACACTCTGGTGAGTCATCAAATCTAATAAAGCAATCTAAACATGTTATTGCATCATTCATATATCCATTATATTTACAGATATCTACACTAATCTATATAGCTAATAGATGCATTAAGCACATGATTTATAATTATATACCACATCATATAGAGTATATATATCAGTGTGGCTCAGAATAATCTTTGTACCCTTTGTCCTGTCTTCCCTCAAAATGTGATGGATGATGTTTTCATCAGGATGGAAAAAATGTAACTTTCTTTTCTGGTTTGGAGATTGTCTCGGACAAAGCTTTTTCTCCTTTCCTCTCAAACCAGTCCACTTCCACTCTTTCAGACATCAACACTGCTGGCTGTTTGAATACAAGAGGGACAATCTTTCTGCTAGATAAATATTTTCTATCCATCCATTTTCCCACTGTAGGATGACGTGAGAGTGAATCAATGTTCTCATGTACTGTCATCATGTTTTTCCCTCCATTTCCTTTATTTACCGTCCAAAACAAGGCCACACCTGCTCACTCTGGGTTAAACCATAAAGATAAGCCACAACCCACCCTGACCTCGACAGGCCTTGTCTTTAAAAGTGCTGTCAGAACACTCTGGCATGTACTAACTTATTAAAACTTTTCTTGACTATTTGGAAAACTATCTGGATAAAAGCATGCTATTTCTTTGAGGTTTTTTTTTATATTTTTTTTTACATAAGGTATATAGAATCTCATATAATAATCTTTATTTGATAATAAATAATTTAACCCCTATGTTGTGATTGGGCCAGAGAGGTTTTTCTTTTTCTCGAAAATATTAGTTAATGTTATCGCATTGGACTAAAATTGACTGACTTTGCTCACACTGGGTATATATTTTCCAATTTTTGGGGCATAATTTTTTCTACCTTGTTCCCAGTCAAAAATAACCAGACTACAGCCTACAAAAAATTGCTTATATCTCTTGTTATGCTATATTATCACCAAATATTGGATTCAATCTTTTTGTCAACTTGTTTTCTTTTAATTAAGACAGGTTTTGTATTTCTTTTTGGAACTAATTGATCGTAGGCCTCGTTGATCTGAGCATAACAAGAGATTTATAAGCATTTTTTTTTGTATAGGCCAGTCATCTTTGACTGGGAACACCAGACTTTGTTCCATTTTGTACAAAATAAAAGCATTTTAAACAAACTTCCTGGTTAAACATTAAACAGTGCAATGTGATACACAGTGCAATGTTTTATATATATTTTGTTGAATATTGACAAATTTATCCACAAATAATGCTTTTTCACTCAAAAACTGAGGTCCAAGCTCAGATCAACGAGACCTACAATCAATCCGTTTAAAAAATAAATACAAAACCTGTCCTAATTAAAAGAAAACAAGTTGACAAAAATATTGAAACCAATATTTGGTGATAATATAGCATAACGAGCGCTTTACGAGCAATTTTTAAAAGGCTGGTAATTTCTGACCGGGAACACCAAAGGTGTTAGTACATACAGGGTTTTCAACACAGTGTAAGGGTAAAAAAACAAAAACAAACCAAGATCATAAAATTTGAGCAAAACCCATGCCTAATTCCCACCCTAACTAGTCTTAAGATGTCTGATTTGTTGTCTTAACTGATTCTTATCAAACCCTGCTAAAACAGAACATATTGTTCATGAGGATTCCACAGCATTCTTGATATAAACAACATCATCTAGCGTATGCTGTTCAGAAGTCCATTTGACACTCTGATGTAATTCTGTTAATGTTTAGGGCATGTACCAAACTTGTTGTGCAACAAACCTTAGTCATGTTAGACATATTTGGTTTGAAGTAAATAAAAAGAAAACTGTGAGCGATAAAATGGATCAAAGTTGTGGTCCATATATGTATATTCTCAGAGGTAACCTTTTAGGTTTCTTACTTTGATGTTATATATACAAGTGTTCATAGATGACTGAACTCATATACTGTATGTCAGAATCCTTGTGAGATGTCCAGAGCCTCTTTTTCTGATGTAAATAAAAGGCAAAAGGGGAGTGTGACGGGGAGCTTTATCACAGAAAGCACTAAGTAGACAGACATGCTCTCTGAAAAAATTACCTGGTTTACTTTATGTTACTTAAGGTTAAACAAAGCAGACTGAAAAACCACACAATGCATAAACTTACAGTGGCCTCCAATTTTGTTTTTGAGGAAATGTGACGGTCATGCATTAAATATCGAATTATCTAATAAATGACTTCAAAAATGGAATAACACAGTAACACACTTTTCAATCAAAACATTTCGTGGTTAGATTTAAAATAATAATAAAACAGCAATGGAGAGCAATATTTGGACACTTGTGTCCATAAAGTTAATGTTGTGAGCTACACATGTGACCTTGAGTTGAACTCAATCAATGAAATTTACACAATTTAAGTGTGACTTAAGTGTCCAAATACAGGGAAACTTTATCTAAATTTCTAAGATACTCTGATGCCAAGTGACAAATAACTTACTAAAAATGCTACAGTAAATGACAAACCATTTGGAATGCTTATGTAATTGTAAACATCCAAATGTCAAGCTTCTGACCGCATTGGAGTAAACCCCATAAGAGTTCACTTGCAAGCAAACCTGTCCGATACTATCTGTACAACTGTGATCACATTGCAACACATTACAATCCTCATTAATATCTAATATAAATCAATGAAAATGAAAAGCCATTCCACACGCAGACTGAAACTTAGCATTTAAAGTGCCTAAGGTCCATATTTGACTGTTTGAGTGGAGGGAGATCATGAGAACAGATGATGATGATGCAAAGAAGCTTACAGTGTGACATCTGGGTAGAGGATTGCATAATGTAAAGAGGACAGACAGGTGGGAGGCACAAGCTTGAGTAAATCAGTGAGCCGCCAGCCGTGACATCCTGTCAGTCAGAACCTGTAGGTTTTGTGGTTGTGCACGACTGTCTGTTATTTTGAAGACTGCATTAATGTTAAAGTCACTGCCGGAAGTTGCGAGTGCGACCGACAATTACTTCAGTATTGTGACCTATGATTGTGACGTATTTCCCAGAGTGAAACTGAATATTGAATGAGAAAAATAGAGGGCGTGGCTTGTTTTTCTCCCCTGGGAATCTAGAAAAGTGGGCGTTCTTTCAGCTCGCTGTCAGAGCTCGCAGCAGACTTACAGTTGGAGGGAATGTTCTACCCAATAAGCCTTCAAACTGACGTCATCAGAGAGGGAAAGCCATTCCAGAGGGGAAGTACATTGAATGAATGAGTGAGTGAGTGAGTGAGTGAATAAAGCATTAAAGCGATACTCCTCCCAAAAATGAAAATTCTGTCATCATTTACTCACCCTAAAGTTGTTGCAAACCTGTATGAGTTTCTTTCTTCTGCTGAACACAAAGGAAGATATTCTGAAGAACGATTGGAACCAAACAGTTGTTTGGCACCATTGACTTCCATAGTAGAAAAAAAAATACTATGGAAGTCAATGGTGCCAAAGTTCCAATCGTTCTTCAAAATATCTTCCTTTGTGTTCAGCAGAAGAAAGAAACTCATACAGGTTTGCAACAACTTGAGGGTGAGTAAATGATGACAGTATTTTCATTTTTGGGTGGAGTATCCCTTTAATGTAGCGCTTTACTATTACTGTGCACCCAAAGCGCTTTACAATCATTTCAGGGGGGTCTCCTTCAGATTTTGATCAAAGATTACAAAGACAATATTTTTTTGTGAATCAACTTGCACCGATGAATTGTTCACCACAAGACTAGTAATGTGCACTAACAAAGTAAATTTTGATTTCATGCTGACTTTAAGGCCTGTAAAGAAACTGCAGTTAAAATGTAGTAGGAAGCCTTTGCCTCTGGAAATATCCCTCTGCATACCAAACACCTTAAAGCATGTAGTAAAAAATGTGATGGCATGTGTCAAGTTGAGGCCTGAAAATGCCTGAACAACTTCAAAACATAATCATTAAACATGAACATAATGTATCATTACACCTCCTTTACACTGTTATGCCTTAAGGTGTACAGTATTATTCTAATACTTTTGTTATTATTGTGCTTTCTTTAGGGCTTGAGAAAAATACCATATAAAACTGTTTAGTTGATTAATTTGACCCCATCTTTAACCTTGCCAGATGCAAAATATGACAAGCATATGGGTTTTGAGTCATGTAGCGGCAAAAAAAAAAAAAAAAAAATTCAGACAATCATGAAAAACAATTACAATCAATACAAATCATGTTAGTGGTAATGTACATAATTTAATGGTAATGTAACACAAATGGCTTTTATTATTCGTTTTGTTAGATACAGGTGATCTGATTTTGGACCAATGGTCTAGGTCAGGGGTTCTCAAACATTTTGGAGCCAGGGACCCCTTACAGGGGAAAAACATTTCCAAGGACCCCCTCATATTTATAACAGTGACTGAGCCTAAAGTTAATGTGGGAGCGGTTAATTAAATATTTTGACACAAATAGTCTCCACCCAGGGTCATATGCAGGGTTTTCTAAATAGCATACTGAGGTCCCAAAAGTGATCTTGCTAGGGGGGTTGGCCCGAGGAATTTTAGATTTTCTTGATCTACACGTGCATTTTAAGGTGTTTTTAAGGCCAAAAATTTTACTTTTATTCTTGATATACCCAGAAAGAATGGAAGTGCAATGTGACAACATGTCCCATAGGTGGGGCACATGGTAACATGACCATATGACAGATTAAAATGTTATCTGATCTAATCAAACAAATATACAAGACAAACAAAAATATTTTCTCAATAAAATACAATTAACTTTTTCATATAAAATAATGGCATTTTAAAATAATTAAAAATAAACTAATTTTTGAGTTTGACAACGAACACACAGCTATATATTACAACATAGTTCAAAACATATTCATTGTAACGCAGTGTGACAACATGACCCACTTGCACAACTGGGATTTACGTTGTGCCCCGCTATCCCCTATATTTCCTTTCCCGGTTGATACTTTGTCTTTGCAAACTGATTGTTTCTGTCGTTCGTTTAAAACTTCTATCTAAAACAGCTGTTTAGTTTAGCGATTTACATCTTATCTCGCACTTTATGACCGAATAACTGAAGCGTCATGCGGAAATTCGCGCTCGGCTTGCAGCTTCTGTGAACATAAACCCGCCTACTTTGATTTAATCTCCGACTCAAACATTTTGACATTGACGAGCGCTGTTAGTCTGCTGAAACCGCTCAGATGAGAAGGTCAGTTATCATCGCGATGTTTAATATCCTTGCAGCACCAAATTAGAGTTAATATTAGGCAATTATTTCACAACTTTCATTATACACATAGAAAAATTACAGAGGCCCGGACCTCAGGGACCTCAATTGTGGGTATAGGACCCTGTCCCTATGCACAAATTTATAATTTACTGTATTTTCCAGAAAATAAGTTGCACCTGAGTGTGTAATACTTTGTTGCGCTCTTGAGGCGTAGTAGGCCTACTTCCCCTCACTCCACAGCAAATCCTTAAATTAATGGTATTCAGAACAAAACGAGAATGAAAAATTATACTATTAATAGATAATAATACAAATAATAATAATAATACTATACAGACAACATTTATTTAAAACATCAAGTCTAAACGAATTAAGTTGAATCGAAACTGAAACTGCAGACGTTGGGCTCGTGCATCTCTCATTCGGTCCAAAGTTTCCATATTTGCGATGTAGCCTAACATTTGGATGCTTAACTATTTATGTAAAGAAAGCTTCATGCTTCAGTCCCAATATAGGCCTAGGCCTACACGTATCAGCATCTTCACATGCGGAGAAATGAGATTGGAACAACAGCAAGTCGACAGTATATGATTGACCGTCACTGCCTTCATAGTGTAGCTACAACAGACAAATTAAATTAAGTAGAACTTTTTATAAGTTCGGTGAGTATTTTATTTTGATAATGAAGAGGTTTTGATGTCAAATTAGCAGTGCTAGAACTGACATATTGTGCGCGCACACGAGACGCCGGCGCGAACACTTGGATTTTTCCTCAGCAGTGGAAACAAAGGAATACTCTTATTTATGGTCATACAGATAAGAGTACATCATTCAAAACGGCAAAGTGTCTATTTTTTATTTGTGTATACATTAAAAATGACTACAAAATGTCATGCCTTTTAAAAATAAAGAACACAACAGGATGCGCGTTCTGCCGTCTCTGTCTCCTTTCTGGCGCACGTGCCCAAAAATCGATTAAAAAATCAAAAAAAATTATTATTTGACATTAAATGCATTATATAAGTCACTTTGGAATAAATAGCAAGTTTTCAGATGCTAAAGAAAACATGACTTATAGTCGGGAAAAACGGTAGGCTGTTATAAATTTTTTCGCGGACCCCCTGGCTATAGTTCACGGACCACCAGGGGTCCGCGGACCCCACTTTGAGAACCACTGGTCTAGGTGTTATTTTATTTACAAATTGTTTTCTGTGTTAGAACAAATTTTGCCCGAATATTGCCCAGGAGGTTTGGGGAATATCAAGTGGCAAACAATGCTAATTGGAATGACAGTTAAATATTACTGACAAACTAGCACAGATAACTTCTGAGTAAAAGCCTCTTCATGAACATATCAGTGGTAGGGCCTACTGTTCTGTGTAACACATATGTGAAACACAGGATAAACTGGCTTTTAAATTTTCTCTGGAAGAACACACCTTTCATTTACAGCAATGTGTCACTTAATGACAATACAAATCCATTATCTATTCTATCTCAAAACATATAAAACAGCAGTGCATTCGATTATCAGCCTGAACAGTATAAAACCGTAGTAACAATCTTTATACAAGCTGAAATAGTAAATTAAAGCCAAATTTTATCAACTGATTCGGTGCAAGGAAGATTCAAATGACGACTGTTTTGTCAGGGCGCTCAGGAGAAAACAAGTCCTTTTGTGCACAAACACATACACAATATAAAAATAATTTCCATTTCGTACAGAAAAATCTCATAGTTCACATTATTTTGGAATCATTTTGTTTTTTACATTCATTTGAATTTGAAAGGTTAAAAATGAACAGAGGTACAAGTATTCATCCTGGCCTTTATTTATGAGGACAAGAGGGACGTTGCCTGCTAAACAGGTCAGGCACATAGGTTAGGCTGTAACTAATCTCAATGTCAAGCCAATCTGACAGCAACCAGATGATCTGAATTAGAGAGATTCCTAACAAAATAAGGTTGAATCACAACCAAATCCATGATCGCTACATCAAATTCAACGAAATTCATCTGCTTCACACTTAGAGGTCATCATAGAGGTCGTTCGCAGTGAAGAACATATGCAAAGCAGGAAATGAACCAGGTGGAAGTTAATAAACAGTCAAATGTATCACGTTGCAGACAAATGCCTTTCACTATTTCAAAGATATTTAACTCTATACATTTCTGGGCAACATTTCACCTCAAATTCAAAATAACAACAAATATATATTATATATTCTGCATGAAGAATTTTGTCTATTTACATTTTTATTTTATTTTTTGCACAATTAAGCACATTTCCTCCCAAAATTCTCATTATCATACTGTTTCTGGGTGTTTTACTTTTACTGTATTTCTATTTAAATCAGCTCACATTAAATAAACTACAAGTACTACCAAGATGTACAAATAATTTAGTTAGTTAAACACAATTTAGTAAATATATAATTTGTGTGTGTGTCAGTCATGAGAATTTAGAAATGTTCTATTACATTGATGAAAATTGGGCAGAGAAAATGTACTTAGTTGTGATTAAAATAATGTCACAATTTAAAAAATGTTAATGGTCCAAAATAGGCTTTAATTTTCTATAGGTAAAAATATAATTACTGATTTCTTTTGATTTTGGGGTGTATGACCTGGTGTATTAAACCTTTTGACAGGTTTAATGAGATTCATGATTCCACTTGCCTCTATGTTTGCTTGTGAAATTCTTAAAACAAGACAAGCCTAAATCTATTTGAATGCAAACAGGAATCAGCACAGGAACTACTAACCCGAGTAAATGTTCCTCTTCTATAATATTTGTGTCATGTTTCAGAGCTAAAACAGAACCTGACAAAACACGTTGAATCCAAAGCCTGGATTCACGGTTTCAGAACATAGAAAAAGAGCAACTTTGTGCTAAGCACAGATGTCCTTCTCCTGCTTTTGAGCGTGTAAACGATCCAGGCCTTGATTTTTTTTTTTTTTCTATGGCTGGTTTTAAGTGACAACAAACAAAACAGCACCCATGATAAGGCTGGCAAGGCGTTCACAGATACAAAAGGTCTGACGGTAGAATCAAAATGAACAATGACCTCTGGTGAAAAATCATTCAATAAAACTGTTTCAAAATAGCAGTTTGGCAAGTTCCAGCAGGAAGGATTCTGCAAAAAGAGTTCATAGTTCAAAACTTGTCTATTCCTATGGCAACAGGTGGAACAACTGGGCCATTCTGCCAATAAAAAAGGCTTTGTTGTGATATTGCTCTTTTTCTTGGTTCTCTTCTCGCCTAAAGACCAAAATGAAAGGCTTCATTGATTTCAATGAAACATTACACATGGATTAAACATGAGAAACTGGTTCTTACATCGCTAGCAGCTAAACTGTAGCACATATTCTTGTTTGTTTGGATTTTTTACTAAAGGCAGTCAAACTGCACAATCAGGGCACTTGGCATGTGTGAACAGAGTTGGCTGGCATCTACAGACTTAGCAGGGGCGAATGTGAACGCACCGAGGCGCACAGACAGCTGTTTAGATGTTAACGCCCATCTCATTGTCCATCATCGCCGATTTGGACGGCCCAAATCCGAGGACGAAGAGGCCCTTCCAAAAGCTCACCGATTCATAGCATGAACAAACCCTTTCCTAATGAGGGCTTGTGCTGGCTAGCTAGATACCGGTAGTTTCTCTCAGCCCTCTGCTGTTGGCACACTTGCGTGAACCCGCACACATGGATGCATGCATTTCGAAACATTATAAGGAGCCTTGCGAGTCAGAATCTTCTTGCTGAAAGAGAACTTTCCCAGAATTTGTCCCCTGCCCTCTTCCTCGCTCCGCGGCCCCGTTGATCTCTCCCAACGGCAAGTAGGAGTAGTCCGCCCTCTTTTTGCGCGCTTTGCATTTTCTGCACGTCTGGATAAGGTTACCGGCGAGGCTGGCCAGCAGCGACGTTGCCAGGATTGCGCAGACAACCAGCCAGCTTTGTCTGCACACACATAAACAAAACACTCTCAGGGTGAGGAGTTGCACTTTGACCTCTGACTCCACCGCTGCTGCCCACAGCCTCCACAAAGCACTTGACTGCAACCATGGAAACACTGTACAATCCCTAACTTGCATGTGAAAGGCTGAACTGACTAATAAATTCATCTGTGCCACTCCACTGCCACAGAGCTGTTTATCAGTACAGTCTGGGCACTTGGTTCAGACTTGTCTGAAAGCCCGTTCTGCTAAACGGGCCTGGAATTTGTCAGAGTGAATTTCCTTGGTAATAATCAAGTTACTCAAACACGCAGATAGGGAATGGTATAATGACAAGTTATTTGAGATAACAGATTTTTACCCCCTGTTGTGGAAACTGTGGCTTTAAGGCATAGGAAAAAGCATGTCATATAATTGTACCCGAGATTAGTTTTTAAAATAGAAACATTTCCACTCTAAAATGAATCAGATGATCACTAAATTGTTTTCAACAAATGCACCATGCAATTGATTGATTTATTCAAAACCACCTGTTCTAAAACAACAACTCAATACTTCATATTCGATTAAAATGTATATAATAAAACAATAAATATGCATTTAAAAATATATGATTTACATTTTAAATGATTGAATAATATATATTTTAGTCTATATAAAATATTGAGTTGTGGTCTTCAAATATATTATATTTTCTGAGTCAATCATTTCAGCTCCATCACATTAAAAATGGAGAAACATTTATTTATATTTTCTATGATTATCACCTAGAAACACCAGAAAAACTAAATGTCTGCTGCATTATATATATATATATATATATATATATATATATATATATATATATATATATATATATATATATATATATATATATATATATATATATATATATATATATATATATATATATGTTATACTAATTATATTTTTTTATTGTAATGGAATGCTATTCTTACATATTTATGATACATATTTTACATGACCATTTATATCATTTTTGTATCTGACTGTAGAGACATACTAAGTCATTAAAAGTTGACCAAATGGTTTGTTCTTTGACTCAAGAAGCAGTGAGAGGACACATCCTGGATGTTGTTATGGGGTGTGTGCGTGTGTGTTTGGAGCACTTACTCAGATAAATAGCGTCTGGGAGCATGAGATTCCTCCTCTTGTCTCCGTTCCTTCCACATCTGTGTAGCCAGACAGTGACCAGCTAAAAGTATGTGGGGAAAAACACATTTTTGAATCAAATCCATTTGTTGGGACAACAGCTCTCCTCTAAAGGCATATTTTGCCTTTTCCCCCTTTCCTAACTTCAGATTTAACTGTGGGAAACAAAGTGCAAGTGCAACTGTTTTTGTTGTTGTTGTTGTTTTTGTTGGTAAATCAGTGCTGTGTATTACTATCAATGAAATTACAGTTATTGATGAACATCTAAAATGTGCCTCTAGAGTAAAGGTGCGGTCACATGTGAAAAATGAGAGACAGATCTTTGCTGGACTCCAGTCTACAGGTCTAATACAGCTTGTGTTGCCCCATTATTCAATAACAGCTTTTGGAAAGCTTGCGTTACATATATAGTTTTTGATATAGTATGTTTTCATTATTTAAAAACCTCCAGAAAAGGTCCATCTGATTTTCTCATGATATGAAATCTTTCACATGGAGCGAATAATGGAGATGGCTGTCACCCTGAAGAAAGGGAGAGATAAGCAGAAAGCCGTTCTCGTGCAAAGGAGACGGGAGATTCCAATCGTAATGAGCCTGTGGTGTCAAGTGAAGAGCCGTTCCTTAACTCCAGAGCACAGGGGGCTCGGGGCTTTTTATTTCTCTGCAGGGAAGCTTGAGAAAGCATCTTCTTCTCACATTAAATGACAGAGGTCAGAGAGTTAAGATAGAACGAGCTGACAGGTTCTGGTCTTGACAGATTATCTGTCGCAGAGGTCATCACTAACACAAGGGGCTGTTGGATAGACTGTGATTCTCCAAGGTCTCTTTTCTCAACACCCCAGACCCCCCCTCCCAGCTCCACAAACAACCAGTAGCTTTGTTTATCAGAGACTGTTTGAGTATGTGTGCAAATTTGAGTAGAGAGGATTCAATCATGTTATGGTGAATGAGCAGACAGAGAAAGGGAAAGTAGATATTTTGAAGAATGTCGGTAATCAAACAGTTAATGGGGCCCCATTGTATTTCTTTTTCCATTACATGGAAATCAATAGGGCCCATCAACTGTTTGATTACCCGTATTCTTCAAAATATCTTCTTTTGTGTTCAGCAGAAGAAAGAAATTCATACAGATTTGGAACAACTTGAGGGCAGGGCTCCAGACTAACTTTTCCACTGGTTGCACTGGTGCTACCAACTTTCTCAGTTGGTCGCACCAGCATATGATTTGGTCGCACCTTTTTTTTTTTTTTTGCTACATGCCATGGGATTAATCAATGCATGCTGAGCTGATGAATAGTGGTTTTACTGGACCAAGGTTAGCAAAGGCTTTCTGGGTTGCAGCATAAATACCTGTAATATATTATATAAAAACACATGTAATATATGGTAATTATCATTGCCAAATTCCAGGATTTTCATGGATTTTGGACAGTAATTTTAATCTGTAATTTTAATCTGTAATTTTAAGCATTTTACATTTGAATTATACAATCTATATATTTACATTTAAATTATATTATATCTATCTATCTATCTATCTATCTATCTATTATCATCTTTCTGTCTATTATCATCTTTCTATCTTTTAAAAATCATTAAACATTCAAATGTATGCATTACATTTTAAAATATTAAATACGCTGATACAGATTTTCGTTATCAAAGTTTATAGTTGTATCAAAAATCAGAAATCTCACACCTTACCTTCTGCATTTTATAATCATTTCCTTTTCCTCTGTGGAGCGATTACTCTCATCTAACCGCTGAAAAGACGTAGGAAGGGGCTCGGTGTTTCGTGAGACCTTTTCATTTTTATATGCCTTAATTCCTGAATTCCTAATTGGCGCGTTTCACCCTATTTTTTACAGTCTATGGTTTCACCATCAGTGTGCAATGCGCGTGACGTGTACGTTCGTCAATAAATAAACTGCACGTGTCTTGCGGAAGAACACTGTAGCCGGAGCTCCTTCTCTCCGTTAATGTCTATGGCGACTGGGTAACTCCGCAACCGAGCCGAGCCCGGGATAAAATAGTCAGAATATAAACACTTATTATAGGCGTACCGTAGTGATTCAGGATAAGTCAAAAACACGGTTTTGAAAATGGATTCATGATGTACTCGTTCATTTTGAACATAAGTTACGTTACGGACTGCAGCAGCTGCTGATACAACGGCGTTCTGTTGCGCGAGCGTCCACTCGCACAAATGCGACCACATACAATTTTAACTCACACATTCTCAAAAAACGGTCGCAGTCTGGAACCCTGGAGGGTGAGTAAATATGACAGCATTTTCATTTTTGGGTGAACTATCCCTTTAAGCTTTTTTTTGTTTTTAATAATTGCATTAAATGGATGAGTTAAATGACCAGCACTAGTGAAAACATTTCCAGCGAATCACAGAAAAAAATGGAAGGCTCATAGTTCAGACAACTGGCGTACCATGTTCTATAGTGTGGACAGACACTAGCATTCGCACACATTTAGAAGGGCAATGAGGAATGCTGATGGCCAAACTATAAGTAGAGAGGGTTATGTTCTGAGGAAGTGTGAGCATTAAACTGATCTATAGAGACGTCACAGGGGGAATGTGTTGTTTACATGTCGTGTGAGTGCTAATAGGGGCTGTACCGCACCTCTGTGCAGACTGAAGTTTCTTTCCCCCTGGTATGTGGTATTGCAGCTTCCAGTGACAGAGTTGCATGGGCACATGTCGTGGCATTGGCACGGCTGCTTGCAGTTCAGTCCGTAGAATCCAAGAGGGCACTCTGGGATGACAAATAGAGCATGGTTAAAAAGTTAAAACTAGTCAGAGTAGATTTGCACCAAAAAAGGAGTTGCCTATTTAGGCACTATAATGTGCTCGCTCAAAATGTTGTTCTCACAGTACTCACCAATATTAAGCTGTTTTATATGATATATTTGACCAAAATGCACCACTGCATGCATGGATAAGCTACATATTATTCATGCTTATACGAGTATTCCATTGTTAGATTAGCAACATGCTAATGTCAAACTATTGGAATCAATAGTTGGGGGAACATAATTTCACCAAGTACAACATCTTTGTTGATCCTGGAACAACATTCCAATCAACCAATCAGATTTAAAGGAACAAGTTTACAGTTCTTGTCAAGTTTAGGCTTACAACCAGGGTTAGGACCTTCTACATCAGTGTAGAGGGAAATGATTCACCTATCATTTCCCTCTGATATTAAGGATAACTTATGAGTAGGGTTATGTTTATGGGTAGGGATAGAACTAAATTTTCAGACAGGAATGTTGTTCCAGGACCAACAAACTATGTTGATCCAGGAACATGTCTTACTTGGCTAAATCACCTCATTTGTGCACTGGCATTAAGTTACTGAACAACGTTTCAAATCAGTCAAATCAATGTAGAAAAAGTAATTTATATTCAATCAACACTTTTATCCAAAATAACGTGTTGCATTCAGGGTACATGTAAAAGTTTAGGCATCTCCTAAACATTTACCTGGAAATATATCATTTTCTTAAAGGGGTGGTTGATTGCGATTTCACTTTTTTCATTTTAAATAGTGTGTAATGTTGCTGTTGGTGCATGAACAGTATCTGCAAAGTTGCTGGACTGAAAGTTCAACGTATGGTCTTTTAAAAATCAGGAAGTTTAATGCCTACAAAAACGACTCTAATGGGACTACAACGAGATACTTCCCGGGTTTTATACGTAACTAACCCATAAATTTACATCAACCCTCCCTCCGGAATATGCAAAAAAGGGGGCATGGCCATATTTCTGCGGCTTTGTCGAAGAGGAAGAGTTCTAGTGGAGAGCTGTAGCCATGCCATCGAAAGTGTGTTATTTTCACCCAGCTGTCAGGTCTTCTGTGTTCGGGCTTCCCACGGACGCTGTAGTTCGTCAACAATGGCTAAAATTTATGTTTGATTATGTTCCTGAAAATTACAATCATAATTTAGCTCTCTGTGCTGCGCATTTTACGGAAGACAGCTTCCAGAATCTCCACAAATTCAATGCCGGATTCAACAAGAAACTGTTACTAAAACATGAAGCAGTTCCAACTTTAAAACCAGAGGCAGTTGTTGGGCCACAACCTGTAAATAAGACTTAATAATTTTAAATGTATTTGGATGTATAATTTCAGACTTAATGTTTTAGTTTTATCAAGGACGTAAACAAATGCCAGCGCTGGCTTTAGTAGCCACTTAGTTATGCTATTGCGTGTCTATGACAAACGCGTACAAACATTTTGGACCTGAATTTGTAATTATGTACTAATTTTGTAAATGTATTTTCCATGTATACTTTATGACGTAATTTTTCGATTTGATCAAGAACGTAAACCAATGCCTACGCTGTTTGTTTAGTAGCCAGTTAGTTCGATCCTATTTTGTGTGTATATGACAAACGTGTATAAAGTTCAAAAAAGTATATGTAATCGCAACAGCAAACTTCAGCTGCTGTTATCAGTGTACAGTATGGTTTGTTTACAGGTTTTATGTATTGTTTATCTACATACGTATTACTGTTATAGATATTTTAACACATTGCCACATGTACACCTAAAGAAAACGATACACAACACTGAGTAAACTAAGTTTTGTGAATAGATAAACGGTTGTTCATTATATCGATAAAACAATAACTTTAAAAAACGGTATTGCTCAGTCATTTATTCAGATATATTAAATGTTTAATCAGGAGAAAATCGTATCTAACAAGCAGCAGTAGCATTTTCATGTAACGTTAACAGCGTATCGAAATTCTTATATAATAATAGTAGAATAGAATCGAACAATAATAATTAAAAAAAATTTACCATTCAGAAACGTTTTGTAAGAGCCGTGTTTGGGGAGGTTCTGCTTGACTCTCTTCATTGCCGCTTTCTGGGTCTGATTCTGGCTCAAACTGATACGGCAGTATTGACACCATTATTTACATTTGACCAGAGCACATGCAACTTTCGCCCGTAAAGGTAATGGGTGTGAAGTTTCCGGACAACGTGCACTACGCACAGTACGCAGTTTAGCCAATTACAACACATCGGCCCAACTAACCAATCTGAGCCCATTGCCTGTTTCTGAGGGAGTGGTTTCATAGTCAACCGGTCATTCAAATGACAGAGGAGAAAGCGGCTTACAATAAAGGTGAATTTTATGAAAAATAAGGCTTTAAAAAAACAAAAACACAAAGACATGTTATATTGCACCCCATAAACGCAATCATGCAAAGAAAAAAAAGCAGTAAACCACCCCTTTAATACTTTCTTGCCACATTCACCCGACTCTCAGGACACTCAGTTGGACGTTAAATATGTTTATCAAATGTGGATCAATTGTTTATATACTAAAACCGGTTGAGATAAGACTGCATACCTTGCTCGCAGGAATCTCCATGGAAACCAGCAGGACAGATGCACCGTCCATGGACGGGATCACATGAGCCACCGTTTGTGCATGTGCATGACTGATTGCAGCCATCACCATAGAAACCTGCCACACATACTGCAAGGATACAGATGTTGTTCACTGTATTAGTATGAGGTACATTCAGATGAACATACTGGTTTAGAATCATTAAAATTTCTGACTGAAACAAATATGTTGCAACCAATAAAACACTTAAGTAATGATCTCCTAGTAAACAGCCAGTCAGAGCTTTATTTGATAGTTTGAAAAATCTGAATATGTGTGACAGCCAAGCTAACTTTGCCTTTACCTTGGCTACAGTTTAAACTCATCCATCCAGCATCACACACACATCCATCTGTTCGGAGACAGGGATAAGAAGAGACAAATAAAGAGAGAATGGGATTATTCAAAAATACTGCCTTTAATGCAAGAGCGTTTTCTTTGTCACATTCAAAACATTCAGTAACTATAAATCTAGAGATTTTAAAGAAACTAATTACAAGCATATAGGAAAATAAACTACAATAGAACAAAGACACAAACGAAATAGACCTACCTGAAAAACTTCAAGCATAAGAAATACAACATAAATTGTATAAAGTAATCAAATGCATAAGAAACACGTCATAATCTTCACTGTGTAAATTAAATATAGATTTATTCTTATTAAAGTTACAAAAGTGATTCAGTCAAGAGCAGTGAAGAGATTTTCTCTTTTAGGTTGTTTGATTAAAATGAATAACGACAGCAGGTAAATTTGGATGCTGTCACTTTAAGAGCGACTGCATGGATCCAATATACTTGTGCGCTTTCTTTCTCAACTGTTTACATTCACTTAAGACATAAATGACTGTGTTTACCTGCAAAGACATGGTCACTTTGACACTTAAGTATGTGTATTTAACCATTCAAGCCCAATTAGTCGGCAAAAAGCACTCAGTTCAGTTCTCACGCGCTTTATAAATAGTGTCTACATGTGCGCGCGCCTCTCAGACAGCGCTGAGAAACAGCATGCGTATAAAGCGAAATGAGTTGTCTTTCGCTGCTTACTGCACGTCAACGGTTTAAAATCACTTGTTTTTAAACCGCAATACCTAAAAACTCATGCAGACGATACGCTTTTGTGACGGCGTAGCACAGTAACGTCACATGATTGTAACCGTGAAAGAGACGATAGTCCAAATCTCTACCGGTTGACAAATTTCTACCGGTTACATTTTTTAAATTCTACCAGATACAAAATCGTGTATTCCAGTATATCGCCCACCCCCTAATTACAAGGCATAATTAATACATTTAAAAAATATTTCTATAATGTATTATATATATAAAGGCTTCAAGTAAAGTGTTGTTATATTTTCCTATTGTGATCTAAAGAAGTGTGAGAGCGACTCACTCTCAGTGCAGATCCCGTGCTCTCCGCATTCAGCCTGGCATGTGAGTTTGGCACATCCTGTCCCGCTCCAGCCCTGCTGGCACACACACTGGCCCTCCACGCAGCGCCCGTGGCCACTGCAGTCCTCCGGATGGCACAGCCTCTCATGAACACACAACACAGTGGATACCGGCCTTGGGCAGCGCCACTCCGGAGGTTCGCTGAAGGCGAAAATGTTGTGATCAAATTGACAGACGCACCACACTGTTGTTTGTATATGTGTATTTTTGCTGTTGCTTTTACACACCAGTGGTCTGAAGGGTAATTGGCCAGGGATCCGTTGAGGATGTAAGTGGCCGAGCCGCCTCCATCCAGATTAATAGCGTTAATGACATGCTGATCCTTCAGAAACTTTGCCACTTGCCAGAGGTTCATTCTGCAAAGACAGTAGTTTATTAAACACACATAAATCAAACTGAAAGTGAACCCCTGGTATACAGTACAAATGTACAGCACTCTCCATTCTGATTTAAATGGCTCACTGTGGTTTGAATAAACTTTTTAAAACTAAGCTGAAATTTATGAAAACTAAGCTGCAAAAAATGATCAGAAATCAGATGTCACAACTATGAGAATACGAATGATACGCAAATTAGCCATAAAAATGGTTATTTATATAAAGATCTTGTATGTTTAATTTTATGTAAGTGCAAATTTAAGTGAGTTTAATCAATTGACCCAAAATCAGAGACAAGACTACACTGCCGTTCAAAAGTTTCTGAAAGAAGTCTCTTATGCTTAAACAGGTTTTATTGAATTGATCTAAAAACAATAATAATGTAATAAATTATTACAATATAAAATTAATTTAATAAAATGTAATTTATTCCTGTGATGTCAAAACTGATTTTTCAGCAGCCATTACTCCAGTTTTCAGTGTCACATGGTCCTTTCAGAAATCGTTCTAATATGCTGCTTTGGTGCTCATTTCTTATTAAACATTTTTTATTAAGAATTGTGCAGCTTACTATTTTTTTTGTGGTAACCAAGATAAATTTTTCAGGATTCTTTGATGAATAGAACATTCAAAAGAACAGCATTTTTTTGAAACAGAAACCTTTTGTAACATTATAAACATCGGATCACTTATTGACTTATTAATTATAGTATTAAATTCTCTCCAAAAAAAAAAAAAAAAAAAAAAAATCTTATTGTCCCCAAAATGTTTAATAGTATATTGTTTTTGCTGCAAGTAACCCTGAGTAGCATTACAAGTGCACTAAAGCGAAAACAGAAAATAAAAAGATAAAGTCTTGAATATGGCCTCACTGGAAAAATGATTCATATCTGCTGCTTTAGCTGCTTCTTGATCAATAAATCATTCTGGTTTAGTTTGTGTAGCATGCACAGACAGAGATCAATGTTTCCAGTGATAAACAGCTGACATCAGCTCAGGTTCAAAGTCCATTCTCACCCTCTCATATGCGTCTGACCATCGACGTGGAAGAGGATGAGTTTCCCCTCTGCATCGTGACCCACCGCCGTACGGGCAGATATCACATCCACAAAGTCTTGAAATTTTCCTGCAACATAAAAGATTAATGACTTATTAAATCTTATATTATAATATTTGAGTATGAATGTGAGAAGTACCTGAAGCAGGGTGTCTACAGATAAAAACAATTTATATTTAAGACTTTTTAAGACCTTTTTAATGCCACTTTGAATGAAATTTAAGACCAAACCTGTGATGGAAATACACATTATATTACAAACGTATATTTAATATTTAATGTTTAACCTAAGTAATTGAAAAATGTAATATTAACTACTTGTTTATTGAACTAAAATCAATGTTACATTTGCAATCGTGAGAATATTCAGCAAAATAGCTCCCGTCATGTTATGTTACTAAACTATATCATGTTATAAATAAAAAACTCAACATTTTGAATTTTTACCTCAGTATGTTTCTCATGTGTGTTTTTTTATGTGTGCTGCTCATTTGTTTTGATTTCTCACTATCAAATCTCTCACAGAGTATCAACAGCGCTACCAGAAATACATTATCATTATCAATCTCTGTTTATGTAATAAAATCATGATCATTCTTACGATTCGATGCTTCACTAGTTATTTGACGGACATTGGGTGCGTCAGACTGGAGAAATTTTAGCGGTAATGTGACCAGGAATATTTAAGACCCATCGAATCTGAATTTACGACATTTTAATACTTTTTAAGGCCTTTTATTAGAAAAACTTTATTTAAGACATTTTAAGATTTTTTAAGGACCCGCGGCCACCCTGTGAAGTCTGAACTACTGTTGAAAATACTTCTTTTTTTCCTGATATAGACTCTGGGGTCAAAATATGTTAGGGAGCCAGATAAACAAGCTTATTATATGGTCACACTTCAGACAGGATCTTGTCAAATCTTACCGGTCTCCTGTGTTTTGTCACATTCTGCCTGAATGCTCTCATTGATGTAGATCTCGCCGTTTCTCAGCAGCCACACCACCCCACTGATCAACTGCACAAAGGGATTTACCTGATCCAGTACATCATCCTCAGACAGGTAACTAAAAATATACAGGAAAAAAAAACACATGAAAGAGGGTGAGTGAGAAAGCGCAAATGAGACAGATCAAGATGAGGTGGTGCAGCCTGATGGTTAAAGACTTGGGCTGATAACTAAGACGCTGTACTGTAGGTTCAAACTCCACAAGTACTGCTCCTGATCAAGAAAACACCAAGAATATGTTTGTAGGTTTCTTTGATGAACAGTAAGTTCAAAATAAGTGTTTATTTAAGATGGAAATTGTTTGTAGCATTATAAATGTAACGGTAGAGTACATCACAACCCAACAAAACCACACTTGACAGATTGAACTATGGACGGAAGCAATGAAGGCACTTTCAAAAAGTAATAAATCCAGCAACTTCCTTTACAAAAAAGGTTGATGGTTTGGAAAGGCAATAAAGTATAAATATTAGCACAAACCAAGGCACATGGACAATGATTTGCTACTAGCTACTTACTACTATATTACTGCTAGCTAGACTTTATTTTAGTGGGAGAGAATGAGCATTTTACTTAACAAATAAAAAAAAACTCTCTATAAAAACAAATATTTTTTGGTCTGTTTTGCCAGAAGAGACTGTGTGTCTGTTAATGCTTAACTTTGTTTAAATGCTAGTTCACTCAAAGCTAACAGACATGAACTCAAAGCCACAAAATTTTAGTGACAATGTCCAGAAGGTCTTTCTCTAAAATAACTGTATTTTAATTCACTTTGGATACAAGCATGAGCTAAATGAAAAATAAGTAATCAGAAAAAAGCTAAGAAAAACATTTGATTTGCTAAGGATTATCAGTGCCAGCAAAGCCACACATAAACTTTACTGACAGCAGTTATGCTGTTTTAATTCCTTAAAGCTCATCCAGGTGAATGTCCAAATATGCTATGTAAACACCTTATCTAACGTTATAATGAATGACCGAGACACCCCGGGTACATGGAGTTCCAAAGTACTGGCTATTATTAAGAGCACTGGTGCGTTATGCAATATTGCCATGTTTTTGTAAGGTTTCTATTTTAGGAAACAGATGTTCTAAGGGCCCTGTGTTCCCACGACTGACTTCCTCCCAAATTCTGCACCCATATTTAGGTTGAGGTTAGTTCTGAAGGCAGCTACAGCACCCCTAGAGTGGAAGGAAACACTTTGTGCTTACAGACATATAGGCTACTAACATTTCACTGAGAATGAGGAAGTGCACTTAAGTACACTCTACTAAATAAATATCTAAAACTAAAAACTAAATCATATGTTTTAAGGGTGAGAGGATATTGACAGAATTTTTTTTTTTGGGTGAACTATCCCTTTAAGAGTGCAATACAGATATAAAAGCACAGCTTAATTATAGCCAGGTCAAAAGTACACCAGCACCCAACCAGGAGAGAGAGACTAGCTCAATTTTCTATTGTTTCTTCAGTCTCCACACAAAAACAAACCCTGTGGTAATGCAAAACATCACGAGGGCCAGGAGAAAGACTGCAAAGAGTGAAACCTCAAGCTATGCCCTTACCCAAACACTAGTGTCCCATCCTTTCTGATGCCAAACTGAGCATTTTGAATTCCTCCACTGCTCCTCACCAGCTTCCCATCACTTACGACATTCCCTAAACACTGCCCGGTGTGAGTGTTAAAGTAGCCTCCATTCTGGGCGATGAGGCACTTTCTAGTTTTGGCAGTGAGCTCCACCAGATCTCTGTGATTCCGCTCGCACCCTCCAGGGCCTCCTGGTTCCAGAATGGACACGGATCTCAGTGGGTCAAGCACCTCTGTGATATGGCCATTCGCCCATCTGTGAGCGCCAGAGTCATCGGCGATGTCGGAGATGAATATATTTGACTTGAACACTGGTGAGTTCAAGTGTTTGCTTGCTGCCCAGGTTTCGTGGGTTACGTTGCCATGGGCGATGGGCTGACAGTCTCTCACGTGGCGGTGAGAATGAGATGGCCCGTGGGATTTGGTGTAGGGTAACAAGAGGTCATCATCCAAAGAATGTCTGTCAAGAAAATGTGGAAAATTACCATGATTAAATCAGAGGAATAAAGAGCAAATAGAGTTTTTTAAGCTAGTCAGGTTAACTTGGAGCATATGATTCAGAGAGATGTCATAACTCATTCAGAGAGAACAGATCCCCATCCAAGTTGTACAAAGTAGCATGTGGATGTTGTTCACTGTTTTGCAGCGCAAGCACATTTTCATGCGTATATGTTCCTTTTAAAGAAACCTGCGATTTTGCATTTTTCTCAGTCTGAACCTAAGAATGTTATCCGAGGAAAAAGTCAAATCAATTAAGGAGCAGCAGATGTTTAGTCGTGCAATCCTTATGTAAGCCTGGGTTCAGTGTGTGGTTGCTGGGATCCTCTTACACTATGCAAATGCAAGATGCAAATTATCTGTAGATTCAGTTAGAGTAAAGTACTGTACTGCAAGTATTTGTACACAAAGCTTAATGCAACTTAACCAATAATGCTTTAAAAATAACTAGGCTAATTACTGGTAAATTGTGGTAAAAGTTCAAAAACAATTATTTTAACAATGTGTTGGAGCAAACGCACACCTTTTTGATGTGTAAGCTAGAGAAAAAAACTTTATATAGGCAAAGTATAACGGCACACTCGCTTCAGCATTTTATTTATTCCGATGTTTCCACCAGAATAAATAAAATGCTGAAGCGAGTGTGCCGTTATACTTTGCCTCTAAAGAGTTAAAAAACAGACAGCAAGGAATGCTGATTAATTAGGTAACTTTAAAATAAAAACTTTAAAACTTTAGGATCCCATCACTTAAAACTGACGTTGTAAATTATTTTTGTGAGTGAAAGAGTCTTAAAGGGGTCATATAATGCCATTTTTGTACAAGCTAGTATGATTCTTTAGGGTCTAAATTAAAAGTTTGTAATATACTTTAATTAAAAATTCTCATTAGTATTGTAAGAAAACACTTATTTTACTTGGTCAAAAACAGCTCTGTTTTCAGCACGCCGTTTCAGTGCATATGACTTTAAATGATAATGAGCTTTGCTCACCCCGCCTCTCTGTTCTGTGTACACGTTTGTAACACAATAACCATAACGCGTTGTTCAGTATAAACGTGGGATTATGAATTATATTGAGAACATCATACATAGAAAACATGCCGTAATGTACCCTGAGTGTAAACCTTAGACGCATTCATTGTGAAGCGTGAAGCGTGCAGCTAGCGATTTGCAAAGATTAATAATATTAATATAAAGTTTAATAAAAGGTTACACTCACTTCAGTTGTTCTAGAGGTTCAGCAGGAACACGAATAGCTGGTATGAGCATGAGCAGCTTCTTAGCAAAACCAGCTCATACTGACCCTCGTTTATAAGCAGTCTGCTGAGAAATGATTCGCGCAAACATGAGAGCATTGACGTTGCTCGTGGGGAATATTCCCTTCGAAAACAAACTCAGCCACTGCGTCTTCAGCGGTTCGGATTAAGGAACATTAAAATGACTGCTGTGTTCGTTATTACACCCAAGAACAGAACACCACAATCGCTTAGACGCCATTCTGCTCATAGACAGTGCTCCAGCATATCAACAATGACCGCGCCGGTCCGCGCAGACTATGATTGACAGCTCGCTCACGAGCGAGGGCGGGTCTGTGTTGAAACGATGCTGTCAATCAACAATCGTGGGAGGGGCTTCCGAGCATGTGACGTCACAAAATCAAACGGCTCAATTTGAGGCAGGGGAAAACATATAAGGAGATTAAAACAAAAACACTGGATGGATTTTTATCATTTTATGATGGTTGTGTACAGGCACTGCCAACACACATTTCAGTACAATCAACTTGTAAAAGTGCATGTACCATTATATGACCCCTTTAACATTCTAAGCTTAACATTCCACTTCATCTTGTGTTCTACATTTCATTTGGAACTCACATGTGAATGTCTAATACTTGACATAAATTTTTGCAGCATCCCTGCTTGTCAGTGTAGTGAGGCCAACAGGCAGTGGCATATTTCCTGACCTCAGGTTGTAGCATGGATTACATCTTTCAAACTGGCATAGGATAATGTACCCAAATGCCTGACTTCCACAACAATCTATGACTTATATTCTTCACCTCTACCCTCACCCTCACTGCTTCTATCCTCCTTGATCCTCAACTTCTTTTCTTACTACGACCTCATTTTCTGACGAACTGTAGTCCCTAATACTATCATCAAGACTTTCTGGAAAAGTACAGCTTTTCCTCTCTGTCTTCTATAAAACTTACTGATATCAACCTAAAATGCAGGCAAAAAAAGACTATTATACTGCCTGCCAGTACTGAACAATAGTGCCAGTTACACAGAAATACACTTTGCATGTATGAATGATTTTTTGTTTTTTATCTTTGCGTTGTTGTTTTTGCAAAATGTGCATTAAAAATGACAAAAAAACTTTAGAAGGTGCATTTGGATGTAAAATTATATGGTTTTAAATGGAATTTATATATATATTCTAGTCTAAAATGAACTCACTAAGAAACCTTGACACTGACAGCATGAGAACAAACACGTGCTAATGTCTCCTTCACCCTCTTGTTGCCAAAAATGTAAAGCACATGGTAAATCGATTTTAATTTTATTGGCTGAAGGGGATGTTATATAATATTATTACTAAAGTTATTATTTTATTTCTGTGGTTGAACATTATTATTGTATTTTAAATGCAATTTTCTTAGCGCCATTTATAAATGACGATGTCCCATATGGGTTAAGTCTTTTAGAATCAAAAGGGCTTATTGCAAAAGATTTGCTAAATAAGTTAAAACAACAAAATACATTAACTTTAAGAAGAACATCTTACAAAAATGTATCTAAATCCCCCAACCAGGCGTTTGGAAACATTATACAACTTCAAGAGTTTGATCAAAACTGCACTAACGTTACATGATACACGTCCTTACCGGATGTCTTTGCACTGGCACAAACATACTCCAAGACATATTAGAAACAAAGAAATCTGATCGAAATTCACAGACGGTGTTGCCATAAGACATATGTATAACACGTAAAAATAAAATAAGTTACTGTCCCGTTTCTAACTGCTTGCTTCGATGAACCTATTTTCATTTGCGTTGGTCATATGATGCAAATCACATGATCAAGCCAACTGATCTTATCTGTCAATCATTTATTCTCCCTGAGCGCAGACAAACAACTGTGCGAAAATGTTTATTACCTATTGACTGCATTCACATGAACAATAAATACATTTCCCCCCCCATAAAGTTAATATAGTCCACTCTCATACATAGCTTAATTCGATTTGGATGAAAAAAATTGTTAACATCGAAGGGGAACCCTATGAGCGGAACCTACTGTCAGAAGATCTTGCGAACAGGGGAGTTGTAATGTGACGCACACGCAACAGCTCAAGGATACTGGACGCATGGGGTTTGTTATGGCATCCAGTGTAAACATAAAGAATGGACTTTTAACCACCAAAATCTCTCTGCACAAAAAGATTCCCTATCCCACATTTAGACATAGGCCAACAGAGATCAAATGCACAAGAGCATTAACAAATTCGACAGGGCAGCACAATGAACAGTATTGTATTGATATTGTAAGGTAAGTTGTGAATTTAAAGATCGATTTAACTTACTTTTAATATGTTACCTAAAAGCAAATAAATGTTTTATGTACCCGGAAATACATGTATACGTCAGAGTAGTATTCCTGTGCATGGATATGAATATAAATCAGTAGTTTTTTTTTTCTTTTGCTCAAAAATAAAGTAAAATGCAGTACAAAATGGAATTTTCTTTTCAAATTAATGTTAGAAATGTCTTGATGGTGTAACTCTTCAGATATTGAAAAGATATAGAAAACTTGTTATTAAAAGGCTGAAATTAAATAAATGAAATGCAAAAGTTATTCAGCAAAGAAAAACATGTTTTTTTTTTATACTTTTTTCAGCATGCATTATGCATGGATTTTCAGTACTTTTTATCTGATGGTTACAACACTTTTTAGACATTAAATAATGTCTACCAAAAAAAAATGAAACAAGCATGAATTAAAGATTAAGAACTTGGCAAATATGCTTTTAGCGGGATGTTTAAAGTCACCATTAAATCAAAATGGACAATTCCTAATTTGTATGGAATTTTGCAGTATTATTATAAATGATTTATCATTGCATATCTTCTTTTTTTTTTTATTCAAGGTCCCTTGTTAACTTTCAATCAAAATAACTTCCCCTCCCTCTTGCAGCCTCTTCTCTTCTCTTCTCTGATGACGTTTACTGATGCGAGGGCATCTGAATCACATGAGTCACTCACATAAGATCACAGCAATAGCAAACCACAACAATCCAATCAATTCCCTATGGATAAAATCATGTCCCGCCCTACATTTTTCTCATTAAAGAAGCCATTTCATTCAGAAATCCTTTGTTTTGGAAATCCTTATATGATAATGATAATTGACACCAAAAGAAATTTCAGTCTCTATTAAGGCTTAGTCAGTTTTGTAAATGGTAGGTAAATGACACAACAGATCCAAGTGTATAGTGTATAACCTTGAACTGTCACCCATAGGAAGAGGGACTATGATGGATTTTTATGTTCATTGCTTCTTCCCGAGGCTGTCCGTCGCTCTACACTGGCACTGAGGGCGTTCAATGTAGAACTGGCACAGGCAGGTATTCCAGCTAATAAGTGCAACAATGTACAATCTTATTTATTCAATTCAGATTATGCTAATTTAATTTATGTACATTTCTAACTGTGTATCATAGTATAAAAACAAAGCCTTGAGACATAAAAGTGCTTGTAGTAAAATACACCTGTATATGCTCATATACTATTTGCTGCTTCTCTTTTAGATTAAGGACTCTGTTTCCCAGAAAACCATTGGTTTAATGCGAATGCAGTTCTGGAAGAGCGCAGTGGAAGACATTTACAGAGATGACCCTCCAGCCCAGCCCATCGGTGCAGAACTGTGGAGGGTAGGTCTTACGTCCGTAAATGAAAGAGTTAAATGGCTAGGGATGGAGATAGTTCACCCAAAAATGACAATTCTGTTGTAATTTACTACAGCTTAAAAGTTTGGGGTCATTACAATTTTTAAAAAAGTAATAAATACTTTTTTCAGAAAGGCTACATTAAACTAATCAAAAGAGACCATAAAGACATTTATAATGTTACAAAAGATATCTATTTCAAATTTATGCTGTCTTTTTAAACTTTCTATTCATCAAGGAATCCTGATAGAAAAGTGTATCATAGTTTCCACAAAAATATAAAGCAGTAAACTGTTTTCAACATTGATAAAAAATAAGAAATGTTCCTTGAGCACCATATCAGCATATTAGTATGATTTATGATGTTTATATTATCATGTATGGAAGAGGTGTTAGTGAGGCCAGCAGGGGGTGCTCACCCTGTGGTCTGTGTGGGTCCTAACGCCCCAGTATAGTGACGGGGACACTATACTGTCAAAGAGCACCGTCCTTCGGATGAGACGTTAAACCGAGGCCCTGACTCTCTGTGGTCATTAAAAATCCCATGGCACTTCTTGTAAAGAGTAGGGGTGTAACCTCGGTGTCCTGGCCACATTCCACCCATTGGCCCCTGCCAATCATGGCCTCCTAATAATCCCCATCCACTGAATTGGCTCTATCACTCTCTCTCCTCTCCAACTATAGCTGGTGTGTGGTGAGCGCACTGGCGCCGTTGTACTGTGGCTGCCGTCGCATCATCCAAGTGGATGCTGCACACTGGTGCTGGTTGAGGAGAGAACCCCTGATATGATTGTAAAGCGCTTTGGGTGTACAGTAGTAGTACATATGAAAGCGCTATATAAATGCCTCATTCATTCATTCATTCATTCATTCATTTATTCATTCATGTGACTGAAAATTCAGCTTTGCTAACACAGGAAGGAATTACATTTTATGCATTTATAAATTACATTACATTTCACCCTCATGTCGTTTCACACTTTTATGACATATTTTTTCTGTGTAACACAAAAGATTTATTTTTGAAAAGTTTGTCCATACAACTTTTTTGTGACCCCAATGTTTAAAAAAAAAAATATTAGTCACTGATATACTATAACTCTGTGTTCTCAGGCAGTAAGAAAGCACACATTAACAAGGAGGTGGATGTTGAGAATCATATCTGAAAGAGTAAGTAGTAATTTCTGTCCCAATATACGATTAAAGAAAATACTGTAAAGTTCTCTTAAAATAACTCATTTTAACTCTGACAGCTGACCGAGAGATAGGCATGGCTAATTCTGTCATTCCGTGAGTCGACACATTATGCAGTCTGTCTGTACTCTGGCAATTGTATTAAAAACATTCTGTTTTGAAAAGGAGAAAGACATGGAGGACAGAGCCTACAGGAACCTTCAGGATCTGGAGGACTATGGTGAAAACACACAATCCTCGCTTCTTTACTTGCTGCTGGAGACACTTGGTGAGCAGCTTTTCTGTGGAACACTGGAGGAGATGTTAGGTGGAATATTAGGAGCTGACAGCCTCAGTCGATGTTCACTGTTGTATAGGAAAAATATGCAATAAAAGTAAATGGTGACTGAGGCTGTCAGTCCCTAACATTCAGCCTCTTGTTCTTTACAATTTTCCATTGCCTCCTCAAACCATTCAGAATAACTGAACTCATTGCTTTAATTTTGAAAGGACCTATTATTATTATTAAATTAAGCTTAAAGGCTTATATTTGGTTTTTGTTTGTTTGTTTTTTTGTGCTGTAGGTTTGCTAATATAGTTCCGATAAAAAATATGGTTATATTATGAAGTATTATTTTCATTTAAAATAAATGTTTTCTATATATATATATATTAATAATTTATACCGGTGATGGCAAAGCTGAATATTTTAGTATCATTACTCCAGTCTTCAGTGTGATCCTTCGGAAACCATTACAATATTCTGATTTAATGCTCAAGAAACATTTCTAATTATTATTGATCTAAAAAGGAGTTGTGCTATTCATTTTTGTTTCGGATTCTTTGATGAATAGAAGATTCAAAACAGTAGCATTTTTTTTTTCTATTTTATTTAAAGTTTTGAAGTTATATTAACGAACACAAAAGCATAAAACAGTCAGGACAACAACAGACACATTAACACACATAAAAAAAAACATCTGGATTACCTCAGTCATCAAATATATGCAAAATAATTATTGGAAATATAAACATAAATGACAATATTCACAATTGTTTTATAAATAAGTTCATTCACCAGAGGAGAAGAAAATAAATGTCAACAAAACAATAGCATTTAACTGAATGTAAAAGTCTTAACTGGCACTTTTGATCAATTAAATGCATCCTTGTTCTTTCAAAAACAGAAGAAGAAGAAAAAAAACGTACTAACCCCAAACTTTTACTGGGTAGTGTTGCCCCATCCTTCAATAACGGACTTGCATAACAAGATCACAAAACAGTCCAATGAAAATATGATGCATAAGCTGAAAATATCAGACTGAGGAAATTTAGTCAGAATATGCTTTTTATAATACATCAAAACTCTTATTTTTATTTTTATTTTTAATTTTTTTTAAGTTAGAATATTAGATTTGTCATTATATGACCTATTTAAAAAAAGATAATCTGAGAACTTTGTTTGAGTTGTAAAACAATTGGATATTCACAATTTGACACAAAAGTCAAACCTGGTCTCGTGAAGTTGTGTGCTTTGTGCATGTGTTTATGTAGGTGTGAAAAACGTCCATGCAGACCACGCCGCAAGCCACATTGGCAAAGCCCAGGGCATCTTGACCTGCCTGCGGGCAACCCCCTATAACAGCAGCAGACGCAAGGTCTACTTGCCCATGGACATCTGCATGCTGGTGGGTAAATCTGCTTTCCACCTATGATGTGTGTAGCTGGCTGTAATTCCAAGCTTTTCGGACATCTGAGTTACTGTTGTGAAGGACTAGGGACATATATGTGGATGAAGCTGCCCAGTGCCCTCTCGCCTGCAAAGCCCAATCCCATGGGCTTTGTGTCAGCCATCTGTCGCCATTGCAGCATGAACAAACCATTAGAAATGGGATTTAGAAGATTTTTCCCTTAGTGTAACGGTAACCAAAGAAAAGAAAATCA